ATGGCCTGGGTGGAGAAGTTCTGTTTGATTCATCAGAGCTTTGGCATTCTACCCTCAGTGACATTAAATGCCTTCAGACAAAGACATACCTGGGTAAAGGCTACCAGATTAAATACTCTGAAGACGGTTTTCTTCTGCAAAACTGGCTCTGAGTTTTAACTACTCTGGAAAAAAATGGGGATATATCTGGATCTTCCACATCCTCTTCTCTTCAGAAGTGTATAAGACTTGACAGAGCTAAGAGCTGGTAGGCTAACACTAAAGCTATTTGCAGATGATTAATAGATCAAAGCTGAAATAAAACAGGGAGGTCAGCAGGAAAAAAAATTGCTGTGTGAGGAGATAAGAGAAATTTCCTATTTCAGGAGACAGAAGAGGTTGAACAGGTTGAAGGTCCAGGATTTGCTGCCAGAAGGGGACTGGGGCTGGAGATTTATTTGGTGGATGTGCAAAGTTCCTGTTCCCTCTTCATCCAGCCTCTTCTGATATATCAATCCTCCCCGTAGAAAAGAAGAAATAATTCCCTGCTTGCTGCACACAGCCAAGAAAAAAACACATGAAAATATCACCTGAAAATGATTTAATCCTTTTCTGTTGACAGTTTATGATGTCAAATAATCCCACCTTTTTCTAGTAAATTCCAGTTCTAGGGTCAATCAGTTACAGCTGTGCTAATCCACAGTTACTGACTTCTTTGCCTGCTGATGTCTCCATGGTGAAACCCACAGATGAAACCTGGGTGACCTCCCTCTGCCTTTCCCCACCGTGTTTAGAAAACAACAGATAAGGTAACGCCGTAAGGTAAGGCTCCACAACAACTGTGCACATACCATGGATGCTGTCAGCAGGGCAGGGATTTTCCTTTGTGAGGGCAGGTCTGGATAAGTTACCTCCCAAACTTTTGACTTGTAAAGGGAAAGAAACTGGTGGGTTTTTTAACCACAGCTGGCTGTTAAAGCAATGCTGCTTTTTATGTCAACATACATTTTAGTAAATGTTAGTTTGTACTCTGTAGTGACAGGCTGTTTGCAGTAACCTTGGGAATACTGCTCTTATCTTGTATTTACACAACAAGTGCAAAGAAACGAGATTAGGTATTTTTCCACAATGTTTAAAAACTCCTTTTTTTCTCCTCTCTTGAACAAGGACTGAACTTTAAACATTTCAAACACATTTCCCTCATGTGGAAGATGTACAGTTAACGTGGTATTACTCATTTACTTGCACATCTATCCTGGTCAGGTTATACTTATATTTTCATGACTATACCATGTCTCTTAGGTCAAGTGCAACAGTGGTCTGAGACTGCAGTAAGCGAAATTGAAACTAGTCAAAAACCGACCTTGACTAAGACCACATAAAGGATGGACAGACAAGTACTGTGGCATCTCTCTGGGATGCAGAAGGACTCTGGTAAGTAACCAGGCCTCCAAAAGCATTTTGATACATGGGATTGATAGAAAACCAATTCAGCATTGTTTATTGCCGCCAAAGGAAAGGAGTTTTCCTTCTCTTGCCCTGTATTCAAATTTTATTTCACACATGATTCTGAAGCTTTTGTTTTACAAAACTTACCTTGTGCTCTCCTGTCAGTGATAGCACTACCAGAAATTATTTCAAAATGTCACATACTAAGCCCTGCACAAGAGCACTGTGACCAGCTTTACAGGCCATACTATATGCATGCCCTTAAACAGACTATCCAACCTCTCCATGCCACAGTTTCCTCCATGCCTGTGGTAACAGCAGCCTCCCAGATGTGTTGTGAAGTTTCATTTGTCTCTCTGTGCCAAACCAGCAGAATGAACCCGGCTGTAAGTGCCAAACTCATTGGAAGAGCACTGTACAGGAGCAGAGAGAAAGTGGCAGCTTTGCAACACCCACACCCTCCCCTGCTCTGGGAAAGCCCAGCTGTATCACTCTCTCTCAAGGCAGAGCAAGTGAATTTGCCCCTCTGTTGATAAGGGCTTGCAGGTTTTCTAAAAAAAAGTATAAAGGGGGAATTTTCTCAATTGCACTGGAAGCAGGACCTCCTCCGTCTCCAGCAGAAAGGAACCAAGGAAATCTGCACAGAAGTGTCATACAAATTTAAAGGTGTTTGATGGGGATGTGAGACTGAAGGAAAGGATTTCTGGAACATCAGTTCCTGCTGCTACAAATTTTTTTCTTTCAGTGAGATCCTGCACTGTGTCCTCACTGACCAAGACGGACACTGCCCACGTTCCTGTTCTCTCCTGCAACTAGCAACACCTTCAGAGGGAACCTTCTTCAGCTTTCCTGAAAAGATTTTTGCTTCCTAGCTGTGTGCAGGAATTAGAGAGTTGTTTCACCTGTTGTACCTGGCAGACTGACGTGTAGGAAGAAACCAAATGCAAGGGAAACTGGGACTTAATAATCCTGCCACGCATATGTATTTTCATTAGTAAAGCCTTAAAAATTTTCACACATTCAGCTGACCAACTGTTTGCATATAAAGCACCGAGAAACAAGGGATCATGGCAGGACTGCTATGGAGCAGCCTCCAGGGACACAGCAGGATTGGCCTAATTACACATGGTCATTACTCACACAAAATCCATGTGAATTCTGGAAAAACCTTCACAAGATGGCACAGACCTGACAATTAAACCTTTTAATTTTCTTGTTCATCTGGAGATGAAATTGCTTTATAACACAATGCAAACTGATCTGCTGTTAGCAAACCAGAACCAACGTTCAAAAAAGTGCAATAACTGCCGAATATTGTACCTAACCCCATAAAGAGGCTAAAGGCTGAACATGGAGAAGAGAGAAACAGCAAGTAGAAAGTCTCTAATCAAACTGTTAGCTGGCCAGGACAGAACATAATCATAAGCCATTAAGTACTCTGGTGCTATTAGAACAGGATGAGGACTTTTGCTATAATTTCACCATCACAACCATTCTGTTGGTTGGGTTATTTAACCTGCTTTCAGTGCTTATCTATTAAGGATATGTGACTGTGGAAAAGGGGTTAAAAAAAGTAAGTTTCCTGTAGCAGGGTTATTCTAATTGCATAACTACATCTGAAGGATTTTTGCCAGAGCAAAAGGACTCTGCCAGGTATGCAGGACACCACAGCTTCTGTCATTGTGTCAGTGCTCAATTGAACTGCCTCTAACCCATTGAACATGCCTCAAATTTACATCACCAAATGCAAACAGTAATTACCAAAATCCTCAAAAATAGTGTTTGCTTGGCAGAAAAATTCAGTGCTTGTTCTCCTCAATGGACCTCTTGCTGAAGCCAGAGAAATATCAAGAAAAGGCAATATGTAACAGAAACAGGTGGTATTTCATCTTTTCAAAATGGTCTAACAGGATTGGAAGGAAAAAGGGTTCCTTCCCTCTGCCCTATGCTAACATTCACCTTTGAAGACTTTCAGAGGCAAATTACAAATTATCTTTAAAATACCTGTTGTTCCTGCAGAGCTCATTTTGCTCAGAGGGATTTACAAGGCTTTAGCTTTGCATTAGATGTTTTGGGTTGATAAGGCATCTTTCAATGGGAAAAGTACTCCATGCCACGAGCAGGAGTCACCGCTAATATTTCTCAGCAGTTTTTTCTGCTAATGCAGTAAAATAAAACAGCAATACCATGCAAGAATGCGGAACCAAAGGCTGAAGAGAAGTAGGTAAGAGAGAAGTAAATTACTAGTATTTACTGTCACAGTAAATAGTCAAAAAATTGATGTTTCCTTACACACTAAGCACCACTGTTTAGTAAAACCAAGAGTTAGATTGTCTCTCCCAACCATTTTCAATCACTAATTACATTTCAGAAGCAAACTTCTCTGAACACAATATTATTTTTCAGAGCTTAAATGTTCCTTTGGTATAAATTTCATGTTATTTTGGGAGAAAACAAAAGAATTATATAATTTGTTCAATTTGATTAAAACCCAAATAAACAAAGCACCAGATTAATGTGAAAGTAAAACAGCAGTGGTGGTCTTTAGTTTAGTTTATGAACCACCACATTAAATCATCGCTTAAGTTCATGTTGAAGGAATTAGGTCTTAAGAGAAAGTTCTTTTAAATCCAAAGGAAATACCCTTTGTAGTACATGTAAGAACATAAAGTTTATCATGGCAAGAAGCCCTGCTGAAAGCTTTCAGGAAAATATTTCTGTGCTACCAGACAACCACAAGAGACAATTTTTAAGTTGCAAGAATAGGATGTTTCCCATAGCTTTGTGCAGTTATTAGAATTTCCATCTTAATATTTTGGAGGCATTAAAAAGTATTCAAGTTTTTCACTTTACTAAATTAAACAGAATTAATCAGATAGAAGATTAAATTTTGTCTGGTCACAAGAGCTTTATTATTTATGTTAACATGATTAATCTCAGTTTACTATTTTATCTTAGATGGACACTACAGGGATGCAACTTACAGTTGTGCTAGATTAATTTTACTTAGGAGACCCTGGCTACTCCTCTGTGTTTATGGCTGAAATGCTTTCCAGCCCTACCCTCTTCCCTCCAATAGTTGCAATCCTCAAGGAGAAAATAGACACAAACATCTGTCATAGAGAGAGGGAAATGTGTAAACCCAAATGAAGTTTTTACAATAGTGTTATTAGTGGGTTCAGCCTCAAAGGCATTCTAAACAATAATTTCTCTTTTACATCATCTAGGTACACTAACACTAATGCTCCATAACATGTGATCCTCTATAAAAATCCTTTCCACAGTTCTGGGGCATGGCCAAGTGGCATCAGGTGTAGGGTGCCCCTGCTAGCTCAGCAAGCATCCTCCCGTCCCAGCTCTCCCCCTATAGCAAAACCTAACCAGTAATGACTGCTGTGGGTATCTATTTTTTTGTCTCATTGCTGAGTACCAGGGCAGGGCACCCGGGCCCCTGGCAGTGCTCTTACCAGCAAACCTAAGCTCTTGAGAAGGGCTCTACCCAAAAAGAGATCTGTAAGCTGCCTGCAAGCCCCTCTGAACATCCCTGTGAAAGGAAATCAAAACACATTAAAAAAACTGAATGTGTGGTTTATTATATTTAAGATGCTATTTATCTATAGTGTTTAAATATGTCTGTCACACAGTTATCAGTAAATGAGTGTAATTTTACATGTTCAGTATTTTGATACACAGTACAGGACTACAAATGTGTTAAAAGGAGCATGAGAAATTAATATTTCCTTGATGCACGCATCAAACCTTGCAGCACCACTTAAAAGCTCAGCGTAAGGACTCAAAATGCAGTATTACAAGCATTACTAAATCAACCAAGAGACATACCTATATTAAACATTAGAGAAACAAAACAAATGACACAAAGGTTTAATGTTTAAGATTTGATACAGGATTAAAATACTAATATTTTTAATGTCTTGGCTTCAAATTAATAAATATAAAAACAATATAAAAATATACACCAGTTGATAAAAGGATGCACTGAGTAAGGTTAGAAAGCTAAATTTCACTTTCAAATGTATGCAGGTATGTCTTTAGGGAGAGGATTTCTGTGTAGCTGCGACTGGTCTTTCGGAAGAAGTCCAAGCTAGTGAGCTGCTCGATGTCACGGACACGTGCAGTGTGCATCTTAAGAAGATCTTCAACCCACTTTGATTCATCCTCTGAGCTCTGGGGAAAAGAAAAAAAAAAAAGTTTTATCACAAGTCTTGTCAAAAATAATCTCCAAAAGCAAATGCAACTTGTCTACGCATTTGTTCCAGATTTGAAGAATCTCTGTGCCTTATTCAAGAATGAATAAGGTAAATGAGTTCCAAGAAAATAAATTTGACATTTAACATGCAAGAAGAATCCTGCAATTTTATTTCAGTACTCATTTTATGATGGGGTTGACACAAAGACCATAATCATCTAGAAAAACTAGCCTCAAGTTGCAGGTGTTTCAGAAGAACAGCCATAGGTTTTTAGAAGATCCACTGGTCGCTCCATGGTTTTTTATCTCACATAAAGAACTCCATATTAATCACTTTTGAATTACCAAAGCCCAGACTCTAGGCTGTTTGGCTTTGAATTCTATGCCTACCCATTATTCTCAACTGACCATCACATCATCTAACACAGTAATATTTTAATCTTTCCATTTTACTTTTAGGGGACCTTTGCAATTCATTACACAGTTGGGACAATGGTTTATTATGTAAGTACCTGAAAACTCTTGTGGCTGGAACATGCATACTATTCACTGACAGAAAAAAAATTTCACCAAGCATTTTCCAATACAAAGAGAAAAAATAATAAGGAAGGTTATGCTGCCAGAATGTTTGGGGTCAGGTTGTGTTCTCTTAGGGGATAGCTGCTGCCTCATGCCTTGTGCCAGTACCAGCACATGTTGCAGTCATCCACAAACTAAGGTAGCTTGCAAACACATCAGAAAATCAGCCCTGCAAAACCCTGCAGTGAGTGGCTGTTTGTGTGCCTTAACCAGGCCAGCGACACGTGCCACAAGCATTGCACCCAAGCCTGGGGATGGCACAACAGGGAGCAGACATGAGAAAAGGACAAAGCAAACAGGACTCTTCCCCCTTTGGCCCCCCTGCCTGCTACCTGTGCACCACTGCTAGGGAAGAAAGGAACGGTGGGTTGTATCTCGGGTATTTAGACTTTATGTGTGTGACTGTTCCTGGAAGTGAACCCTTTCCTGACTGTCTCAGCAATGTCCCCCTACCAAACGATCCTCTCATGGATCAAGACTAAACTCCAGCAATGCCAGAACCTATCCAGTGCAGTAGTTGAACCACAGACAAAGAAGTGGGTCACCCGACAAAAGGCAGGAGGGTGAGGTGATCATTTGCACAGAGAGAACACAAAGTCCCAGACAGATCACAGCTGGCTGCTCTAAAGCAAATGTCCATGACCCAGTCAGCACCTGTTTGGTTCAAAGCTCTCAGCCCCAAACCAGCTTTCCTGCCCATACCACTAACAACCTGAGGACCAAAACCAGGTCTGGAACAAGAAAAGAGAGATGCAAATTAAGAGGGAAAAGGAGGAGTGTGTCCTGCTCGCTCTCCTTTGCCTGCAGTGTCGTGCTCCGGGGATGCCCCTGCTCAGCCTCCAGCCCGGCAACCAGGGGTCTGCAAACAAGCCTCAGCAGGGCTGCCAGTGCAAATGCAGCCACTGAGACATTTTTGCTTTCTTCAAGACTTTCTTCTGAGCAGGAAATCTGCAGAGCTCAAAAGAAAGTTATGAGCAAGCTACAGAGCTCACTTTTCTTGAATACAAGCAGTTTGCAAAAGATCTGCAACATGAGTAAATCACAGGATGGAGAGGCTTGTTTAACCTAGTCCAGCAAGACAGCATTTGCATGAGTCCAGAAAATCAATCAGCTGATCTATGTTTTATTTTTTCCAGTCCACAACTGGCCCATGAAGTCTCAGGCTCAGCAGAAAAGATTTTAAATAGTGATCAACTTACACAGTATTACCACATAACAGTGAGTGAAGCGTATACATTTAAAACAGTTTTCTCCAGCTTTAGTGCTTAGTCTCACCTCAAAAATAAGGAGAGTTTTAGAAGGAAAAAGTAACAACAGAAAACATGGAGATAAATAGGAAGAAGTGATCAATTAGGAGGCTAACACAAAATCTAGTGGAAAAAATGCCAGATATTCGGCACAATAATCTGTCTGTGTATCAATCAGAAAGCTGAACATGATGCATGTAGAAAGGTGGGTGAGGAACTGACTAAAGAAGATAAATTTAAACATTTTGCTGAAAGAGAAAACAGTGGCCTGGATGAATTTTCTAGTAGTTTCTAGGGTTCCTTCAACTTTGGTCTTAGAAAGGATTTTTTTGTAATGCTTTCACACTCACTTCTTCTACCAAGGTCATTTGTTGCTAGCAAAATCCCCAACAGTTGGGAGCACCTGTCAATGCAGAGGAAGACTAGAATAACACGGTGGAGGATGCAGATGCAGGAGCTCCCAGGACAGAATGAAGCTGGGTTATCCAAACTGACATGCAAAAGAGAAGGACCTGAGTGTATCAGCTGTGCATGAATGTGAACCGCCAGCAATTATAACATAGCTATGGAAAAAGCAAATTATAAGTAGTATCAGAGGAGTTGTGTCCAATGGAAAGAAAATAATTTTCATTTTGAGATCTAAGCTGCAGTACTTAATCTCATTCATGATCCAGGTGAAAAAACAGATTGGACTGGATGAGATGCATAGGAAATCTATTCTACAACAGTCTCATCCTCTCTTACATGAGCAAAAAAGATCCTGCATCTTCCATGAATAGAGAGAAGTTATATGCCTTGGGAATCATCATAAATCATCTCTAGGGTGAATCCAAGAGAAGGGCTATTTAAGACATAGAAAAATGTTGACACAAGGATAAATGGGCATAACCTCACCATGAATAAACAGAGTTTAGAAAAGGAACAAATTCAGATGAGAAGAGTGGTGGTGTTCTTCAACGGCTGTATGAAGAGAATGTGTGTACAGCTAGAGCAGAGCAGAGGGAAAGCTAATATTTCTTGAAATCTTAAAAGAAAACGGTGGAGAGGTTAAGTAAAATTCCTATATTATGCCATGCATTTCATCCATGAAGTATGGTGAGGTTTTACGCAATCACTTCTTTGAGCAAATAAGATGGAACACCATGTGGAAAAGTGAGGCTGATGATGGATTTCAATGGCAAAAATTTGCTTAACTGTATTTTCATTCAAGAGTGGTTCTTTGCTATATAAAAGGCATGGACCAATATCTGCTAATGACCTTGCAGAAGCACTAAAGATTCTCTCAAACTGTAAATACATACACCATATGTATTTACAAGTAGCATGACCTACAGAGAAAGGAGTCTCATTTGAAATATAAGAAATCAAAGACTAAACCAGACCATTATTGTAAAGAGCTCATTAAAAATATTTCAGCAGCTTAAGAGAACTATGACACACAATATAAGGAGGAAAAAATAAATTACTTTGTCATAAAATTACATATGGGCACAGTTACAGCACAGAGACACTAATAACTACCAAAATAGTAACTTCCAGATCACTAACTGGATCTTGATTCGGAGAAAAGCAGTCCAGGAAAAAGCCACAATGCAATATATGTAGGACTTCTGGAGACTTCTGGTGAAAGATGCCTCTGCCCAAAACAGTTGAGATCCAAACAGGGCCAGACCTGCTCAAGAGAGAGGGATACTTCTCCAAAAGCATAGGCTCTAAAAGCAAGCAATGTTTGATGAATGAGAAGGAATCAGTGTTCAAGGTCAATTGTGCTCAGAGTTGGAGTAACTATTTCTGCTTGTAGCTGGAATAGGAGTCTTAACATTTTTTGCCAATACAAAATTTATAACATTAATGCCTTCGTTCAGGAAACGGTTGTTTGATGAGTGAGAAAGAAACAGTGTTCCAGGTGAATTGTGTACAGAGTTGAAATTACTATTTCTGCCTGTAGCTGGAATAGGAGTCGTAACTCTTTTGCCAATACAAAATTCATAACATTAATGTGTTCATTCAGGAAACAGTCTCCTGGCAGCCCATAGTGAAGTGTCTGTGTGCAGGAATCCACACAGCTGTGTAACGGGAGAGCAAGTTCAGGCGGAAGGACAAGTCTAAATACAGCTGCCTGGGAGCCCTGCTGTCCTCACGGAGTGCCAGAGCCCACGGGGGACCCGACACCCTCCTGCCACAGAATCAGCTGCCAAGTGTGAGCTTTCTGCACTGCTGGCCAGACCAAAGCCTGCATCAAGATTCTTACAGCAGAGGATCCTGCATCCTAATGGAAGATAGAAAAGAAACTAGGAGGGTATTTGGCCATCTCTGTAATAAGAAGCCAAACTTTTCCCTTGAATCAAGGTGTTCTGGAAACAGCAAGAATTGGCACTCTACCCTTGGCAGGTTCTAGCATATACTTTTATACTGTGTGGGTTGGATGTAATCATGCTGACTGATGCATCCAAACTGCTGTAGCAGACAGATTGCATTGTATCTGCAAATGGAAACTGACCTCCATAAAAACATCAGGCTGGCTGCCAGCATAGTATGTTTATGCATACAGCCTCCCCCCAGTCTGCTCTGAAGTTTCACTGTAAAATGTAGAATCCTACAGGCAAAAAACAATGCTGCCAACATATTGTATGGCAGCATTGTATTGCCATACAATTCCAGACAATTTTAGGTGCAGTAATAGTTCCATACTTTTGCTGCTATCATGGAGAAGTGCTTTTGTCTAATGAGTTAATGACATTTCAACAGAAGCACAACCCTGTGCTTCCCATTCAAGACATTAGTGAACACTTGCTTCTAATAGTAGTGGGTTTTCACATGTCTTAGGGACATGTTTACCACAGGGCTGCAGTAGCACAACTAAACTTACATTGCAGCTCTCATCGTTGTCAGGCCGGTGGGGAAGGATGTATGAGAGAACAGAGAGTGGTCCATCACACTTGTCAGCTGGCTGAGTGAAATCTAAGCAGCTGGTGATGATGGCATAGTAATGCGTTGGAACAGGGATTGCACTGCCTTCCACAAACCTGGGGGAATAAAGCAAATATTTATCCACAAAGGATGAACTTGTTTGGAAGAAGGTTACACAAACAACATGGTCTTTCCTCTCCTACGTGTGAGGACACACATACATTGTTGAATTGTGTTTGATTCCTGAACACTATTGAAAGGGAGCATCCAATTAGCTCACACTGTGCTGCTGAAATATCTCATGCAGTGCTGAAAGGCTTCTTCAGTTCAGAGACATGGAGAGAATGCATTACTGAATTAACAAAAGACTTGAGCATGTAACTCAATAGCACAGCTCTTATGTTCCTCCTCCTTCTTAAATTCTCCTTAAGTCAGGAGAATTTTAGAGACAATAGACTCTGTGGAACCAAATTGAACTTCATATGGAGGATGAAAACAATTTCAAAGTCAAGGTGAACAGCTAACTGCTGACTCGTAATTTCCTTATTTTACCACTGTCCTATCAACACTGGGCATTCAGTCCCAATAACTTCAGAAAGAGCTAGAAAATTATGTCTCCTCATAAAAAATTAAACAATGTGCAGATAATTAATTGTTTAAGATAATGTCATCATTAAGAGAAGCAACAGCAAACCAATTTAAAGACAAACCCTTACTGTTTTATTTTGTCAGGTGTGTCATGTAAACCATCATAGTCATAGTCAAAGATTGGTCCACTTATAACATTGACTCCATTTCGTTCAGTGGCATATCTCTTCACCAAAACCCTTTGGAAATAGTTCCATACCTCTGTAGGGAAAAAAACAAACAAACAAACCCAAACCAACCAATCAATCAAAAGTAATAAAAAAAAACCCAAACCCAAAACAAACAGAAAAAACCCAACCAAACCAAAGTCTCACAATACACTGACATTTGGATAAGTCAAAACATGTCAAGATTATAAAGTTTTTTATTTCTCAAGATAAAAATCCAGAGGATATTATTCATATGACAGTAGGGAAAATGAAAGACTAAGCATTACAGAGTTGCTGCAGCTTCATTCAGTTTTGTCAATAAAGCCTATTCAGACTTTGTTCTCTGTTGATTTTTTCCCCCAACCGCTGATAAAGGAAATACATGCTACCACTCCCAGGACAGCATTGCCACAGGCCTTGCACAGAGATTCTGCTGTTCCTTCAGCAAACTGTAGAAACAACTATTCACAGGTTTTTGATATCTCTTTAAACACTGCCTTTGTTATCTTCTTATAGGGAACTGTGCTGAGGTGGTGTTTAGGGGGTTTTTATTAACCTTAAAAAGGATACAGTACCACAATTACAAGCTAAAAGCAAACATTTTAAAAGAAAAATACAAATTCATTCAGTTAAATTCTCCTTCAATATAAAATGTTTAACTTTTAAACTACGTGCCATCAAGGATGGCCAATGTCATGTCATTGCAGCAACCTTTGGGAAGAGCATGATAGACTTTCTCCCACTGTGTCCTCCTCAAAAAGTTAAAATTCTTGAAGAGATGGGAAACACACTGGAATCTCCAGTGATAACATTCTTTTCTTCTTTTCCTTTTTATTTTAACTAACAGAAGTGTGGGTAAACAAAACTTCTGAGACTTGAAAGAACTTAACTCTTCTCTTGCCAGCTCAGACCATTAAGCCCATGGTTCCCTGGGGCTGGTGGCAAGACAGCCTTAGAAAGCCCCCTTGAACATAGTTCCAAGGCTGCTCAGTGCCACATGCAGAACCAGCTGGGGCTGATGCCCAGGGCTCCACCAGCAGTGCTCTAACAAGAACCTCAGCCTAATCATTTGGCAATACCACTCCTCCAGCTGCTCACTCCTCCAGTGCATGTGCTTTATCAATGAAAACAGTTCAAAAAAGAAAGACTCCCTCTTGTCCCGCTGCCTCAAGTTTTGTATCTAAATCAGATTGCAGTTCCAATTCCCACTGCAACCACATACAGAACAATGCCAGGGCAATGAGTGGCCAGCCCAGGGGTATCATTTTTTGAGCTCCAGTGAAGCAGGAGCTGCTTAAGCCAGTCTCATTATGGAAAAGGTGGACACAGAATTATTGCCAGTAGGAATGGGATTGGACAGTGAATTATGAACACAAAGCAGAGGTGGGGGGGGGGCCTCTGCAGCCAGCACTACCACCAAAGCCAGTGCAGCACAGCACTGCCACCTCCTATTTAACCTCTTTTGGAAAAAGATCCATATAATGAGCTTATACTTAGCTCTCAGCACTGCAACTGTACACATGGAGGCTTTGTAATTCTCCAAGAACGACATCGGTACCAGAATTTTCTTGTAAGGAATCCTTCACATGTGATGTAGAAGGCCACTAGACAAAATGAGCTGCTAGAGGTGGGTTGTTCTCCTGTGATTAGCATTTCAGCCAAATACTTAGATTAATATTAACACTAAGAGCATTTTTATGAAGTGATTCAGGAGTGGGAAATCCCCGATAATTTTTCACTCTTTAATCAGTCAAGTGCTTTTGCTCAAATTTCCAGCAAACATCACCACTTGGTCCTACACTGAGGTTTTTCAGTTAAAAACACTTTATTGGTTTTAAAAAGGAAAAGGCTCCCACAGGCTTTGATGTTTATCCAAACCTCTCTGGCCTAAAATCTGAATTGGAAATCTCACAACAGGCTCTTGAGATTCTTCCAAGTCTTGTTAATCCCTGCCAAGCCAAAAATGCCACCAGAATAGCCTGATGGTTTTCCCACCTCTTGGCAAGACTAGAGAGAAAAGGGATGTGCAGACAAAAGAAATGTTAGCAATATAACCCTGCAGCACTGAAAGTTTCAGACAGGTTTAAATCATCCCTCATCTTCCATAAATTTGTTTTCTTCTCTTCTTTTTTGGGGGGTGTTTTTTTGGGGGGTTTTTTTGTTTGTTTTTTTTTTTGGTTTTTTTTGGTTTTTTTTAATACATAATAAATATGTTCAGTCTCCCTCTAAGGGCATGGATAGAAAAATAAAATGTAATCACTTGTCCCCAAACTACAAAATACCAAGGGCACACTCCCAGGCTTGTGAAATCTCTCAGGCTCCAGTTGTTCCCTATGAATGTTCTGCACTAGCTTGGGCAACAGACAAGAGAATCTGATTGGTCTTACAGCAAGTGAATTACTGTGGCACAAAGCACAACTGTGGACCTACAGCATGGCTGTGCCCTTACATTAACCCAGCACCAAGGAAAATAAGCCTTTCTTAAAACTTAAGTCTTTCTGGTGCCATTTTGCCTGCCCATACCTAGTGGTACGGGCAGGCATACAGGTGTCCACAGGTACTAGCTGCTGGCTACAGGTAACTGAATTTAATGTTCTAAACTTATCCTATGAATTCATTCCATAATCCAACACAAAATAAAAAAAAAAAGCTTGCTGGTAAAGAGAAGCATAGCCATGGAAATGGCACTTACTTTTGAAGGCAGGATACATTGGAATGATATTTGTTATTAGAAAAGCATCATACTTTGCTTCTGCAGAGGAACTTAATTCTGAAAACAGGGAGAGAGAAAAAAAATAATACGATTAAATATAAGAATTTCAGAGAATATAGAAATGTTTTGAAAATGGCTTCAGAGATTAACCAAAGGTAATACTGTAATCTAAACAGCAATCTGAGTGTTATATTCAGAAGTGCACACTACATACACAAAATTTGTCTTTAATGTGACAGCTGAACATGGAAAGGAAGAATTTTATCTTTGCTTCAACTTCAATCAGTTCAAAATATTTTCATATAGCTTATCTATTTTTGCTGTCTTAAAAAGCAGAGACCTCTGTGGGCTTTTATAAAAGACGCCAACAATTTCTTGGGAGAGGAGTGTGGGATTATATTCTAGTTCTGAGCGAGCCTCTGCATGAGTAATTCCATTTCAGAAGTCCACCATAAAATATTTCAGCCACTGAGTGAGGAAGACAGAACAAAGAAATTCTGAACTGTGAGGCAGTTGTGCCCCTTCAACATTTACTAATCCCAGAAGATCATAGATCCAATACTGCAGCAAAGCAAGTGCATCAGGAGTCTCAAGGATGCTTGTTTTACACAGGTTTTCTACTCTCACTATTTCTATAGGATGGTAGAAACTTTTACAGTATGTAAGAATCTGATTTGGATTTATAAATTAAAAATATGTTTATCTTACTGGTGTTTGAAAACAAAATTAGCCTGTTTATATCTGATGGAGTTTGCCGGAAGTATGTTCACACCAAAGGTTTTCCCTAATGAAACAAGAAAATTACAAAATCCCCAGGTACTAAAAAGCTATCTAAACTTACGAGGAGGAAAAAGGAATCCATAGGAGAGCTGTTTGTCGCCTCTGTAGGCAGCGCAGCTCTGGCTGTTTCCTGGAGAAATGCGGAGGTCAGGCCTCACACAGCTGGCCAGGTGCTCTGGGACACCTGATACCTCTGCCTGCATTGAGGAACAACAATAGAGACAACAAAAAAAAAAAGTACTTTCAGCTTTTACAGATAAAAGGAAAGTAGGTCATACTATTGACAGACTACACAGAAGGCCATGCATGCAGCAAAATAAACCACTTGGCTATACAGCCAAATCCTGCTCCTGCATTGCTGCACAGCCCCTTCTTCAGGGAGCAGAAATCCCCATGGGAGAAAATTCAAATGAAGTCACTCATAATAAAACAAACTCCTGCTGAACAAAACTTAAAAATAAAATTAAAACAGGAGAAGAAATACAAAATGCTTCCCCTTAAAATTATTCTCTCATGAAGAAAATAAAAGAATTTGGGTGTTGTTTACACTGGTACTTGACATAATTTCTGGTGGGAAAATTTCCCTAGGGATGGGAAATTTAAAGACTTCAAGAATATAGACACCGAAGAAATCTTCCCAAGATTTTAAAAGCATGTTTCAAGAGTGGAGAGAGCACTAACCTGTTTGGAAATAGTGTAGGATGTCCACAGAGGCATCAGGAATGTTTCACTGTAGCCACTTTCAAAGTCATGGTGATGCAAGATATTGTATTTTGTGCGGTACAGTACCGCAGGGCGTCCATATAAAAGATGCTTGTCTAAAAATCAAAAGAAATTACATTTATGTTTATTACTGAAAATCTTAAGGATGAAAAACAAGGGGGGTGTGGGTTGGCTTTCCATCGGATGTTGATTTTTTCAGTGATCATTAATGGGATACTGACCCCAAATAACTACTAAGGAAATCTTGACAGAGAGAGAACAAGAAGTCTTCAACTGTTCTGGCTGTGATCCCCATTATTCCAGGTTCACAAACACCCTTAGGGATTAAAAGTCCCTTTTACTCTTGAAAGCTTGTTTTTGTCACAGGGTGGAGAGAGGATGTTTTTTCCAAAAGCTGGAGACTCTTTAACAGTCTTTGTGTCTACAGGTCAGTCACACATGAGGTGGTAAGCACTTTCTTTTCATAGCTCTAAATCAGTCCCTAGTCTAACAGTCCTGCCACTCTTCAGTGGACTTTCTCTCCTTCCTATGTCTTCTGTAAAGACTGTCTCAAAAAGGAGGCAAAAGTGGTCACTCACTCAAAGAGTAGTTTTTTCCCACTTGGCTGATACAAATTTGTTCTGTAGACTGATGTGCTATTTTGTGTCCATAATATCAAAGAAAAAAAACTAAGAAAAAACCATTGTCCTAAAATTAGCTACAAAAAGACGCCTCTCTGTAAAAAACAGTCCTTTCTTGGTGATATGTTATGGTTAAATGTCCTTAGATAACTCTGACAAGCTTGCTTACAAAAAGACAAAAACATTGAAAAGGTTAAAAGAAAAATAAATTTCCTGGATAATCTTGCATTGTCTTGTACAGTCCATTGAATTTGATAACCTTCTGGCAAACACACTTGGCTTGCTTTTGGAAATTAAAACATAGAAACAAGGAAAGTGGCCTAACACAGTTCCCAGATAGGCATTTAACCTGAAAGAATAGGGCATGTTTTATTAGTGCTTGAGTACAAACAGAGGATGTTTTTATAAGGCACAAGGAAAAAAGTAGGAAAGGCCTACTCTAATGACAAAGATTATAAACTTGCTTTATTCAAGAGAAGCTGAAGCAATCTTTTCCTTCTGCCTGTGAATATCAACGTGGGTGCACCATGTTGTAAAGTGCACCATGAAGGAAAACAACTTGCATGAAGCAGAACCACTTGTTTAAGTAAGGACACATCATGCCATTTAACAGAAAATTGACAAATGTGCAAGTACAACTGGTTTAAATGCTTACATCTTAAAATATGCCCAAAATACTATTTTTATATTACTGCAGAAAGATGTTGAGATTCTAACAGTAAGGGTGTTTTTTCCTGATGCTATAAATTGCCACAGTGAGGAGTAGCTCTTCATTAATTGGGAAAATCAGTATAACAAGATGAAAGCTGCTGAAAGGCAATTTAACTTACAAAGAGGAGGACTAAGGTCACCTTTAGAAACTAAAGGATAGGCTGCATTGCCCATTCACAACAGAGAAACTGAAAATACCTTAATAAGGGAATGAAAACAAATCTCCTTAATCATCTGAACAATGCAATTTGAGGTACCTCAAAAAATCAATGTCTAAACTGAAAGCTTCAGAATTTGCTAATTTGGACAATTGTTATGGTAAGGGAAATGCTGTGAATTGTTATGCTGAACTCGATCACCTCTGTCAGAAGGAAAACTGCTTTGGTGAGCCTTTCAGTCAGTAGTGCTGCTCAGAAAAGCAGCTCCCATCCCCTCTCCTCTCTCCTATTGCTCAACTTTACCCTGGACCATGGCCCTGATGCAGCTGAGAGTCCATCCACACAGAAGTCAGTGCTGGCACACAGCAGGAACTAGTGGCCAGGAGAGCTGGGAATGCTTTCTCCTGGGAGTAACATTGACTTGACCACTAAAGAGGAAAAGAATTGCACTGAGCAGCTTGAGCTAGCAAAACACTTGTTTCTCTGTGCAACCTGCACCCTAAGAGCCAAGCGTTAAGATTCATTCAGGGATTGTCAAAGCAACTGTAGCATCCTTTCTAGGTGAAATCTAAGCCTGGAAAACAATGGTAAAACCCAGCCCACAAACAGAGACTGTTTTTTTCCTGATTTACAGCTGAACAGAGTACTGCCTCATACACCATCTCCTTTCCTCTTGTCTCTGCCTTCACATCTGGGCTTAAAACGTCTAGAAGTGATGGAATGGAAGAGCTAAAACTCACATTGCTTTGAACAATGCTTTAGTCTTGGTTCAGCAAAAGGTAGTGTGTACTTTCTCCAGTGAGTAGCACTTCACCTTACCCACGAATCTCACATGTGTCTGTGGGCTACCTTGACAGGTACTCAAAAAGATAGTTTACTGCACATTAACTAAACCACACCGGGAGCTGCTCTGGTATAAATGATGCAAAGTAATTTACAAAAGGAAATTAAATTAGCTTTCATCAACTGAGGCAACCAGGCTCTTACCTTCTGTTCCTTTGACATGAAAGCGCTTGTTGAGTTCATCCAGCTTGTTCTTCTCAAGAATAGAAAAAAAGGAACGAGATTAGGACCACAGGAGCACTCTGACATCTTGTTTTACTAGCATCTAATAAAACAAAACTAGTGCTATAAGACAGGATTTTCTTGTCTCCTCTTTTATAAAAACCCACAGTTTTTCCAAGGGGGCCCCAAAGGAGGAACAAAGACTTCACAGGAGGGACTTGGGGAATTCTTACAGACCAAACCCTCTCAAAACAAATAAATTGGCTACAGCTTTACGAAAACTACCACTAATAGTGGAGGCTTCCACAGATCCTACACACACACCTACCTTATCATCACATGTACATCCTATGTCGAAATCTGATGCAGAAGGTAGAGCTACAGGATACAGTGGTTTAGCAACTTCATCTGGCACAGTTGGTTTATAAACATTGGCTCTCAGCAGATGATTTAAACTTCCATGGGTGCCATTATTGGGAGCAGGCTTTAATCCAAGCAGATCTATGAAAGCACAAAGGAAAAATGAATGGTGGTTACACTCCAAACATATATTCAAGCAGCAATTCTATCAAGCCAACATGTTTCTTAATAATACTGTTTACACCCACAGCATGTTAGTGAAATCTTTTAATGTAATAAAATACTGATTTTTTTTTTGTCCAAATCATAAAATTGTAAATGTCGCATGAATAGTATCTTTGCCTTTATAACAAAATGTTAATTTGCATCAAGACACTGGAAAAGTTTAAAACTGGACAAAATTTTATTGTAACAACTCCTTCACCTTCCAGTGCAAACCTACAGTCCATGTGCTGACCTCACACCTAACATCTGCAACAGTGATTTCTAAATAAGGGCTAACTACCCCTTAGGGCAGTTAAACATTACATGTTTGGGGAAAGAAGATGAATTACACCTTTGAAACATCTTAACGTTTTATTGTGAATTACACCTTGAAAGTTTCATTGTTCTAGAAAATCAGTACTAAAGACCCTAATGAATATCTGTATACATCATCAGATATTCTTCTTCACAGCTTCAGTACAAATTCCGGAAACATAATCATACAAGGAAACACCATAGAAAACAAAGCGATCAATCTGAACTGCTGCATCAGACATGCAGATGCAGAAGCAGTCTCTGAACAGAAATCTCCTTCCTAGACAGCTGAGATGTGGACACCACACACTGTAGAGGTGTCCATTTGATCTCTGTTAAGCTGCAAACATCAAAACTATAGTAACTCCCTTTACTGGCCAGCTCCAGAGCAAACTGAGACCCCTGAGAAGTGCCTTCAGCCCTCCTGGTAAGTGTTTGGGAGTCAGGGTATAAGCTCATGGCTGCTTAAATGAAGCCCTGTTAAAATAAGTTGCTGCTTTTTCAATTTCTCAAGCAGCCGGCTTACCACACATGACGTTGTAAAGTTCAATGTTTTCAAAAGGAGGCACTTTGGTCTTGTATTTGAAGGTAGGACCATAACCTATAAAGACAGTCTTAAAAAAAAGAATGGAAAGAATACAAAAGAGCATTAAAATTTAGGGTTTTTTCACTGAATATTTACATTTCAGAGACCTTCAATGACCCTCCCAGACGTTGCTCATACCTGCATGCTGTTTATCTTGTTGTCATAGCCATGGTCTCCATGAAAGAAACATTTTCCTGTTGGTTTCTTGTAAACATCCATGGCTTTCCTAAATTGAAAAAGTATTAGAAATTTTCTTCTAAGGTGGCCAACCTGGCAATATCCTTCTGAGCAGGAAGGATAAGGTTACAGGGCAATGCATTGTAATAATTTATCTTTCATGAGTAGCAGTAGTAAGGATTATACAGCATCCCCAGGGTTTCTCCCTCTACTCCCACTCTAAGGAATAACTCTTATTTTTGATAAAAACTTCAGTATCTATTATTTTCTCACATTTTCTTATATTACATAATCTCCTGCAGACTGGAAGTGTTGGACCTCCAGTCTAACAGAGGCTTTTCAGAAAGCACTTTTCTGTTGTTACAAAACTGCAAATGTCATACAATGATATAAAGTGCTTTCACCTTTTTGCCTACAGCCCAATAAACAAAAATGGGTAGCAGAAAAAAAGCTAAAATGAAATATATTCATGAAGAAAAATAGCTGGGATAATAAGTGCTGTACTACAGGAATGCTAATTATCATCTTGTTATTGAGATGGAGTTTTTTACAAAATATGTGGAAAAATATGTATTTTGTCATAGGAGTTATAATCACCTACTTATTTCAGAGTACTTCTATACAGTTTTATAGGGCCACATGCAAGGAATACATGCAGAGGACCACATTATCCTACAAATTAATTTCTTCATTTGCAATAAAATAATGCTCAAAGTCAAAGTTTGATTTTGGCCTTTTAAATTATAAGACTTGCAGCAATTAGGGCTGTAACTACAATTTTCCTGTAACTACCAATTACATTTACACTAATGAATGAATTACTGGTGAATGAGATCGCTGAAAATTAATAAATAAGCCAAAGAAAGATTGATGTAAGTAATAAGAAATTATTAAACGTAAATCAACCTGGGCAATACCATCCATTCCAGTACAATTCTTAACACTACAGCTTTTATAGACCTAAAATTCAGAGTGTGATTCTTTGACATATACATAACCCCAACCATGGGGCAGCCTGCCAGCAGCCCGGTTATGCAAGAAAGCAAATGGGGTTTCTCATTCACTGCTTCAGCAGAGTGATCCTTGCATAATTCATGGAAAGATAAGCACAGATGTCAAAAGGCATTTACAACACAGTCTGTGTTTGCCTGGCAGGTATATGGGCAAAAAAATCCAGCCATGATTTAAAGCTCATAACAGTCCACCATGAGCCAAAAGCTGTATAATCTTCCAAGAAGCACTGAGTCAGATTCATGCAAAAGACCCCCCAATTCTTATATTGTAACACAACACGTGTCAAAGTATATTCAAATAGAAAGCTGTGCACCATCCACAATCAAAGGCTATTCCTCTCCTGTTCACTCTATACGTGTATGTGCCAACTGATTTTTCCTCATTCCATTTTTAGCTAACTAATAAACACTGCACATATTCTATAACCAAAAATTCAGAGTCATAAGGCTAAGAGCAACCCAAACCAGAGTTTTTGCCTGAGCTAAAGCATCCTGGCTTTCTGTGGATTTGTTTTGCAATGCAATACACTGCCAACACGGCACTTTGATGGCCACCCTGCCATATTCTTCCACATGTTCTCAGACATTCACCCACTCCACCAATATCTTTGTTTTCTTTCCATTCACCTACTGCGTCCACCCTAACATTCCCTCACCGCATAAGCCTGCCCATATTCCCTGCTTCCCTCTTGGACTAAGCTTCCACCTCATTAGAAAGATTTATCAGCTTCTACATTTAAGCTAATCAGTCAAAATCACCAAGCTGCTTGAGCAAATCAGTCTGGGTTTCTACCTTTTATCCAACAACTGATTTTCCCACACTTTGAAATATTTTGTGTTCTCAAAACTCCTCATTCTCACAGGGTAGAGTAGCAGGATGCTAACAGACAGGGCAATCCTAAGTGTCCCATTTCCTCAGAAGAGAAGACTGGAAATCAGGATGGAAGCAAACACAAAGGTTTACCTTGCCACGTGCCATTTGCGATCCACCAGTAAATGGACATCCTCAATTCTTCGGTTGTTAGCATAGTGCAAGCGTTTAGGCAGGTGTTGTTTCAGGTAAGGCTTGAAGTGCTGGTCAGGCTTTCTACACTGAAAAATAAATGGTTACAAATAGCATGCTGTCAATTAGCTTAAGATGCACACAAAACCTTTGACTACAGAAATCAAGCTGTTAAAGTCATCACTGATGGTGTCTGGAAAACAAAGTGCACACCTAGAGTACTTAGTCCAGTTATTTCTGTGCAGTATTTACATGCAGCCAAGGCCCAGAGAGCCATTCAAAGATGTATTGGGAAAGTTTCATTCCTGTGACAGTCTTTATGAAACCATCAAACAAAATATCAAACATACGTAACTCACACTTGAAGAATTTTATTCTAACTGAACCAAAACTTAACCAAAACTTAAGTTCCAGCAGAAACCTGAAAGCTCAAAAATACACCTCATCTGCAGATATATTTAAAGCCATCTGGTTACAAAACTTGGGGGGTTTGTTTTGTTTCTGTTTTTGTTTTTTAATTTTAATTTTAAACACTTTTCTTCCATTAATGGCAAGGTTAGAGTTGAAGGCTATCAAAAACACTTTTTCAGTATCTTCAAAGTCCTAGTAAAATGTTTACCCTAAAAGATTTTTTTCCAATTCTGAAGCAATGAATAAATAGACTAAATTCAGGGAGTAAAGACAGTCCAGGAAATTCTGTTTCTGCACTGCCCAAAAAGGTTATAAAAGCTACTAGAGCAGCAGACAACAGAAAACATAACAAACATTAATCTGTGCTCATGAAGGACATCATTTAACATTCTTTATTTATAATAATGGTTGGTTGATTTTCCTGTCTAAAGAGTGAGAAAACTGAATAATACCACGAATCAAGAAGTGAACAGTGAAGTATATACAGATGTCTCCCAGTCCTAAATACTTACTGTAAGGTTGGCAACAATCATTTTAGGGTCATCTGTTAAACAAAGATTAAAAAAATAGAAAAGATTAAAAATTTCGAAAGAAACCACAAGGTTTACATAAGCATACTACCTAATACTTCCCTGACCTTTACAAAAAGTTCTTTGTATTTATCATAGAATCACAGAATCATTTGGGTTGGAAAAGACCTTTAAAACCAAGTCCAACTCTTAATCCAGCACTGACAAGTCTATCACTAAACCATGTCCACAAGTGCCCCATCTTTTAAATACCTCCAGGGATGGTGAGTCCACCACTTCCCTGGGTGGCCTATTCCAGTGCTTGACCACCTTTTCCATAAAGAAATTTTTCCTAATATCCAATCTGAACCTCCCCTGGTTCAACTTGAGGATTTTTCCTCTTGTCCTGTTTTTTGTTACCTGGGGGAAGAGACCAACCCCCACCTGGCTACATTCTCCTTTGAGCTGTAGAGAGGGATAAGGTCTCCCCTGAGCCTCCTTTTCTCCAGGATAAACACCCCCAGCTCCCTCAGCTGCTCCTCTCAGACTTGTACTCCAGACCCTTCCCCAGCTCTGTTCCCCTTCTCTGAACAAATCCCACCCCCCTCAATATTCTTTTCTGAGTGAGGGGCCCACACATGAACCCAAGATTTGAGGTGCGGCCTCACCAGTGCCAAATACAGACAATTACAGGACCAAGACAATCCCTGCCCAGGTCCTGCTGGCCACACTGTTTCTGATCCAGGTCAGGATGTCATTGACCTTCTTGACCATCTGGGCACACACTGGCTCATGTTCAGTCCCTGTTGACCAACACCCCCAGGTCCTTTTCCAAGGGCACGTTTCCAGACACTGTTCCCCAGCCTGTAGGACTACACAGGGTTGTTGTGGCCCAAGTGCAGGATCCAGCACTTGGCCTTGTTGAACCTCACACCACTGGCCTTGGGCCACTGATCCAGCCTGTCCAGATCCCTCTGCAGAGCTCTCCTACCCTCCAGCAGATCAACACTCATGCCCAGCTTGGTGTTGTCTACAAAATGATTCAGGGTGTCCATGATCCTCTCATTCAGATCATCAATGAAGACATTAAACAGAACTGACCCTGATACTGAGCCCTGGGGAACACCCTGGGCCCAGCCATCCAGACATTTTTTTACCCACTGAAGGGTGCACCTGCCCAAGCCACAGGCTTCCAGTTTCTCCAAGAGAATGATGCAGGAGACAATATCAAAGACTCTACAAAAGTCCAGGTAAGCATCATCCACAGGAGCAGGTCACTTTGCCATAGGAGACCATGTTGGTCAAGCAGGCCCTGACTTTCCTAAACCCATTCTAGATGGGCCTGATCCCCATGCCATCCTGCATGTGCCGTGTGATGGCTTGGTGACATCTAGTTGCTTAGGTAGTGTTCTCACTGTTCTATAATCTGGGCCTTAGCCTAATACTTATTTTGTTTTCTGCAAACACATGCTTTCAAAACTTTTGTCTGTTTTACTTTAAATATCTGCCAACACAATGACTTTCCTTCAAAATTTTTGAAAGCATACTTGAGTGCAACAATGCACTCTGTTAGAAGGAGTATAATAAATATGTAGTGTTTTGGTCACTTTTAACATTTGACTGGTTTCATAGGCTACTGCTGAGTAAGTGAAAATATTCTGGATTTGTTTTTGAGCTCTTAAAGGGATATGCAAGATGTAGAAAGCCCAAACTCAGTAACAGTCCATACTATGCTCTTTTTGTGGGGTGGGGGAAATATTTTTCAGTCATGAGAGGAAAAATAAGCTAAAAGAACATTTTGAGAAGTGAAAATCTCTGTTCAAATACTATTGTTTTAGTTGCTTAAGGCGTGATCTTGCCGAGCTTGAAATGGGCTCTATAGCATTTCAAAACACAAGCTGCAGGCTTTTGCATTGCAAAGGTGTGTTGGCAGTATTGACACAGTATTATAGAACAATAAAGAATAAAAAATTTGGTAATTTGCCATTTAAGGAGGTAAACCCCAGTTCTAAAGGTAAGAAACATGCTTCTTTGTTCTATGTTCAAACTGCTGATTAACTAGCAGTTGCAAATATTCAAACTAGGAAGCTGCACACAGAGGCCAAAAGATGAAAACATTATTGTGGGAAAGCCTCTGGTATGACTCAGAGGTCACACAGACAAGCTGAACTTTTTGAAACATATTGCATTCATTCTCTAAGGAAAATTTATTTTTCTTAGCAATTTGGAAAGACAAGAATTTAAAGATCTTGAAAAAAAAAAAAAGACTTTTCAGAACTGAAATTTGTTTTCAGTAGACTGTGTAGTGTAGGAATTCAGTCTAATGCTAGTCTAAAAAATTTGAATAACATTTATACATCAACATTTTCAAGAAATCTTTACACACTCATCATATATTTCTTGAGCATAAATACCCAAATACTGATTTGTGTATACATTTATTTTACTATAATTTTTTTTACCAGGCAAGAAAAGTTTCTAGTAAAAAAATGCATACACAAATCAGTATTAAGGATGTTTTATCACATTCTTAAGATTTTTGCTATTATTCTGGAAGTATTTAATCTTCAAAGATAGATCTTTCTATGAAATTTGTCCTCACCCAGAGCATATTTGAAGTGTTGTGAGGGAACACCTAGCTATCCCAGATGTGAGATTTTCCCCTCTATTGAAAGTTGTCACTCTTGGAAACATATGGTGCAAAAACCACAGGTACTTATGGGTTATTTATCAGTTACATTTACAGTTTGCATGGTGGCTTAAACTGCTGGCAAAGGCAGGTTTGCCCTTGTATACTGAACCAGAGCAGTCAGGGTGCTGCCACAAAGCCCTGTCCTAGTACTGCTGCCCTGGAGGCAAAAGGAGGGCAGTTGGTCTGAAATGCTTGAAATTAGAGAGTTAAGTTTCACCAGAGGACTCCTGCCCTGAGAACTATTGTCAAAGATCAGTTAATCTCAAACACTAAGTCAGGGTAAAATTCTAAAAGCATGGTTCAAAATAACAAGTTTTACTGACAAAATTGGCCCTGGATGCATGCACTAATCTTCCTTATATCCTTCAACATCTCCAGTCTGTTGTTGTTTAGCAAACCACATGACTTCTCATCTATGCCAAAAGTATGATAAAACTACTGAATTCAAAATTAACAAGTCACTTGTTTCCTATTAGTTCATAAAATGTACCAGATGCTTTTTTTCTTACATCCAAGCTGTGCAGTGCTGAGATCACCCAAATACAGCTTTTGTTGACAGATGAGAAAAGTGCATGAATAAACTCACAATGACACGTAAGCTGGCATGTGAAACTGGCTTGGAGCTCCCATTCCTCCATGATATAAAAGACTGGTGTTTAACCCAGAATTTTAAGCACTCCCCTGAACACTTCTATCACTGTGGTGTCTGTGAAGTACAAACTGGAAAGGGAGCAAGCAGCTGTCTTCAGTGGGATTCCCTCTGAAATTCCTGTCAACACTTTGCAAATTTACACTCTGTGGACAGCATCATTTCAAGGAAGGAATAGAGTCTAGTACTCAGGATATAAAAGGTACAATTAAATTAACTTACACTTTAGGTTATTGCTAGACCTAGGGCGAATTCGCCCTAAAGATCCAGGCAGCAAAATTATATCATCCACATTAGTCAGATAGTTGCTTAAAAATTCAGTTCTTTCACAAGTTGTGTCTTCCATCCCTGCAGAAGGGAAATGCAAAATTAATCCACCCTGAAAATAAACACATTTTCCAGAATTGTAAAAAAAGGAGACCCCAAATACTCCCTATGTATTATTTCCTTTTGAATGACTAATCTTGTTATTTGCAGCCATCTAATTCCAACATAATACATTGGTGAGACTCAAACTGGAAGTGCTTATGTGAAAGAAATACCAGTCCAGGCATCATAGGAACAGAACCACATATGACATGTGTGCACTGACTCAACTCCAAATTAAACTCATGGAAAAATCAAAGTCTGTTTCTAGTTTAATGTACTACTTAGGGGATTATTTCTTTTTAAACAAATGATTTTAAGAGGAATAGCACACAAAAGGTATTGTCTGTTGGTGGTCTGTTCTAAGGCAGCCGCAGATAAACAATTTTCTCTTGCAGAGATTTGTGGTGGGTAGGAATGTACTGCCAGCCACAGGAGGTTCTCAGCACAAAACTGCCACCCCTGGAAAACCTTCCTGACCCTTACCCTCCTCTGCCCACATCCAGAAATGAGGCATATGCCATTTTATTGTTGATGTAGCAGTTCATGTGAGACTGTCAGGAATAAAGACCTAGAAAGAAGAGGACCTTTGGTGGCATCACTAAAAAAGTTATGCAAACCCAGGTTTTCCTTTAATAAAACTTGCTTTTTATCTTTACTAATATTTACTATTTCCTATATTGCAAAGTTTATTCTAATGTTTGAAGGAATAAGACCTACCAAATAATATCTGTATTTTTAGGTGACTACATCTGACCACTAAATATCTTTTTACCTCCTTCTTCCATTATTTTGCTTACTTTTTCATCTAAGTGGGACACAGTCTTGTATTCCACAGATATAAGAAAGATATTCCAGTCTTTCTTCTAATAGGATAACTTGACCTACTAATTGCCATGGAAATGCCTCAATCTAAAGTCCTATTCTTCTCATGTACAGGAGAACAAGGCTATTAAATTTTTCATTCCATTATTTATTCCATTATTCTATTATTGGAGGGCAAATTATAGCCCTCCAATACATGCAAGAAGAGCTACACTTGGATGTGATATCAGAAACACCAAGATTTTAAAAGCTCTGAGTAAATATCCAGATCACTGTTATGAAAGAGAAGTCTCCCTCTATGATGTTTAACAGGTGAGCCAAGTGTCAAGTCCACACCAACTGACTTTATCTGGGAGAGTTAAACTACCAGAAAAAAATATCAGCACAAAAATATCTGAAATGGAACTTTGATTTAGGTTACCTATTGAATTTACAGCTACATTGCTTAAGCATTTATCTTCCAATAAATATTATGGTTTAAAATTTACCATGATCACCAACAAATATAATATTGACACATCGATGTAGCTTCAACTGTTTCAGTCCATCCATTAGTTGTCCTACTGTCTTGTCAATCTCTCTCAGGGGATTCACCATCATCTGTATAAATATTCAAAAGGAAAAAAAAAGTTAATTCTGTCATTGCAATCTTCCTGCTTCTACAAATGGGGGTCCTTTGGAAAAACTCTGAGAAAATCATCCAGGTCAAGAGGCAGAGCCTTGGCTGAGCTGTTACTCCTACAGTTATTGTACCCTTTCCTTTTGTATATCCACACCATGATTTCATTGTGAGAAAGCCTTGCTGAGATGCTGACACAGGACAGCAAAAGGTCTTTTTGGCTGATCCTAGGCCTCCCATGAACATGTGTACAGTTGGTAAAACAATGTGTAGATAGCAGAAAAACATATGTGACTTTGGGGTTTAGTTAATTTCTTATAGATAGAAAGCAGTGTTTTTAAGAGAAAACAGTATTTCATGTGTATGGTTTAGTAAAAAATGAGCGTGAAATGAAGCTTTAGACTTGGGATTCACATGCCAAGTCACTTAATGAAATTCACTTCAAAGAACATCTGATATTAAGATGGCAACATGCATGTCACTTGAGTAGCACATGGGGCTCAGAGTAAGTGTTCTTCAGCTTCAAAGCCAAGAGTTTCCAACAGCTCAAATGACAGTTCTGGCAAAATTATCAGCAGGCTCCAGAGGATACAGATTCTGTACTGTGATTTCTTCATTAAAGTTTTTTTTTCAATAAAAACCAAGACAAAATAAAAAATGAAACACAACAAAACAAAAAGACCAATCAAACAAAAACCAAACCAAATACCACCAAAAACCAAAAAGAAGCAAGACACGGGACTATGTTTTCAGCCTTAAGAAAATGAAAAATTTTTTACAAGATGGCACAGAGAAGGGGGAAAGTAAGATTTTAGGCAGAAGACTCATTTTGTTTTGATTTTGAGAAGAAAACATTTGTTGTCACTATGTGGCAACTTCTTCCTCACTTGTCTGATTTGGCTGGTTCAAGTATCCACAATAAAAAATCCTTCAAATGACAAACAGAATGGTAACAAATTCTGGATGAGAAAAAAATAGATTTCAGAAGAATTTTCTAAAATAAACACCATGTTAGTGTGACCCAGAAAGAGATGGTTCAGAAATTCTCGCTCTGCCTGAGTCATTAAGGGGTAGATGTTAAATGAGTCTGCTAGGTTATGAGACAGGAAATGTCAACTCCCATGTGGCACTATAAATACAGAGAGAAGGGACTTACTGAAGAAGGAATCACGGTAGGAAACAGGAGGAACAACTTGTGCAACATATGCAAGTGGTTCAGACAAAGAGTGAAATTTTGAAATATTTTAATTCAGGAAAGCCTAAGTAATAATTTAAGTTATTAGTTTTAAATTTTAAATTTACTTTTAAATTTTAAAAATTTGAAACCTTCAAGTTCAGAAAAAAGGAAAATTTTCTGTTTCAGCATTCTTTCGCTCTCCAATACAAAGAGTTTCTTCTACAAATGGGAATTCCATTTTCATGAAAGTCTATTTATATTTTGTCAATCATATAAGAAAATACAACTTTTACTAAGAACAGATTTCCCATTAATGTTTGCTTTTGTCAGCAAGCTTCAGTCTTCTTTTAAAAAATAATAATGATGATAAACAGCAACAATAATTCAAGGATTTCTAGTGATAGTTCTGTTTAGCTACCCTGCCTGAACTCATTTTACAGCTCCTCCCAGATGTAACTTTCAAAAATGTATTGGCAAACAAATAAAGTTGTAGCATAATCCTTTCTTCACCTATTATCAAGGCTTTGAAAGACTATACAGAACCATTTTATCTTTCAATATACATGGAGTTCTAGGATGGTGCTACAATAAAGAGTTTTGTAGCATTGTGAAACATTGTAGCATGTTAGCTGGGTGTAGTATCTGAAACAAAAAAACAGCTGGATTCGCCTACAAGTTTTCCCATAGAGGAAGTCTGATTATAAGGAAGAAAGAAAGAAAGAATCTTACTTTTAAATTTTTTTAATAATTGGGAGGATTCATCCTGTACTGCATTTCATTGCTGTCAAACAGCATCAAAATATTAACTTGCAGATACAATGGCAATTATTATGAAATAGAAGGGGGATTTTTTTTCTGAAATAATTCTGTCAAATCTTCACAGCTGACTTATAAGAAAAAGTTCTTTAGCAGCAAGTTTGGATGACCTTTTCATTCAGAGAAAGAAAGGCAAAAAAAAAGAGGAGCATATGTTCACGTCACTAGGAATATTATTTCTACTCTATTTCATAAGTCTAATTTGCCAATCCATAACTTGGAATGGCAAATTAGTGAGTAATAGCAATATCATCCATAGTAATTATTAGTTCTCCTTTCAAATAAATCTTAAAATGTTAAAAGTTCTCTGGAAAATTCCTGGTTTTTTTGTTTTGTTTTTTTTTTTTTTTGCATGTCCCTGTTTGCCATGTTTATACACTTAAATAATGTGTCTCTAACTCTTTACAGCTGAATTATGCAACGACTCAAAAGACATTCCCTCAAAAAATCTCTTGAGAAAAATGTTTATAGCCTACTGTGGAGCGTAAAGTCTTTTGTTTCTAGTGTAAAGGAGAAATACATAGATTGTTAAAGCCAGGTAGATAAAGATGTACACTAAGGAATACTCCTTTCATCCACTTGCACTTTTTCCTAATAAAGCAATTTCTATTTGATGTTTTCCTTGTGAAAACAGACTTACACACCACCTCTTGCAAATACACCATTCAGAATCCTGCAAGAAAAATTCCTTACCCTCTAAAGTCACAAAATTACTTTAAAATGTGTATTTTTAAAACAAATGTTCTTTTCCTTTTAGATTTTATTAGTCACATTTTCAGGACATTTCCACAACCATGCTGACTAGACACAAAACCTCCAATAATCACTATGTTCCCATGAGCTGGGAGTTACAGAGGCTACAACATATTGCAGAACTTGTAATGGTTCAGAAGGTTTAGCAGCAGTGGTAGTGTCTTCTCACAGATTTTTCTGACATTGCCTCCAGCTGATGGCTGGATTTTAAAAAACAAAGAGATTATAAAGATAACTTTCCCTAATGCAAACACTCTGAAACAAGAAAAACACAGCTCCCACAAGGCTTGGTCTGGTTTGGCTGCTCTCCTTTGGGCCCTTCAGTAAATTTATAAAAGTTTTGGTTGCAAAATCCCAACCTGAAGCCTGAAGTGAACTCTCAAATTGAAAAAAATAAAGACAGCGTAGTGCCTAAAAAGTGGCACTTCCATCATAAATTTTTGGAACTTACTTTCTTCCGACGAGTTTCCGTAGAATACTGATCCACTCTATGTACTTTTCTTCTTTTCTTTGGAGCTGCAACTGGTCTTTCCTGTCTCCTCTTAGGAGGAAGCTTTCTCTTAGGTCTCTTAGGCGGAGTAAGAGGGGAGCCATAACTACTCTCCTGTACTGGCAGGGAGAGATGTCTGGACTCAGAAAAAAAGCCTGTCTCAACTCACATCAGATAGTAAAGCTACCTGTGCCAGATAATCCTGAAGCATAAATGCTATGTCCTTATCAAATATTTAGGCTTTTGGACAACTTAGGATCTACCCCTTTTTAAGGAGGAATTCACCAAATTGTACTGAAAGCAGAGCAGCAGTTACAAGAGCAGACAGCATAAAAGCAAATTAAACTGGTGTTTCTAAAGATAGGTGGGGTTTCTGTGTTTGAAAAGACATAGTTATATAGGGGGTATTAGTTATCAAATATTAATCCATATTTCAATTACAGCAAAATTCACTGCATACAACTTGATGAGTGTCCAGGGTAGACTATTGGTGGAAATGCAACATTTCACTTGAACAACAGTTCAGGTTTGAGTATTAGAGGCTGTCCAGTCTCAATGACTTCTTCTGCAAGGTTTCCCACACCAATGTTTTGGCTGAATTAGTGACATCAAGTACCCTCATCCATAGCACTAGCAGGTACCACTATTGTGTGCCACACCCTGCACTGCACTGAAATCACCAGAACTGCATTTGCCACTATTTGAGGTCTGCAGGTCAGAGCTGTGCAACTGAGACTCAGTTAACATGGAGCTTCAAACTAGCTGCATGGGGCACATTAGTGACAGTGAATGAGAAATCTGTGCTGCTACCTGCCTTATTGACAGCTTTTTGGGCATTTTGAGAATTTCACTTCCTAGCAGTTTCAGAGTGTCATCTCATTGGGTAATAGTATTGTTCCTAAATGCACAATACCTAGGATAGACTTATGGAAAGAAAAATAAAAAATGTAGAAGGAAAAAAACCCCCTAAGATCTAACTAGAATAAACTACTCTCCCATTAATCAATTTGCTTGTAATTTTAAACTGTCCCACTCTTGCTGACTGTCACACAACTCACAGGCTCTTGGCACTCCTCGAGATGGTGTGAGAAGAGCTGACACCTACCAGGAGATAAACCACAACCTGCAATGGAGCACACTGAGTGGGATGGGGGAGGCTTGGAAATCTGTGATGGCAATTAAGTTCTATGTACTTAGGTAGCTTCTCCCAGTTGTTGAGTTACAGAGCTCCATAAAAAGGGAAGGGGAAGAAGGGGATGTTACCATCTGCCATGCTGTTTCATTGCTTCCAACGCAAGCAGCTGGAAAGGAGATTCTAGTCCAGTCTCATTCGTCTTTCTCCAGAAAGGCATTTTAATAAAGCAGCACCAGAGGTTTCTGTTTCTAAAACACTTCAAGCTTTGTGCAGTCCTGATGAGAGGAGCGGCAGTGAAAGGAAGGATTCTCATTTTACTGTCTCTGAGTCGGCTCAGACAGAGCTCCACAATGCCAGAAACACGCGAGCGCAGGAGACCGCTGTCTGAATACTGAGGTGACTGTCTCAAGACAGCATGTTAGAGGAGCAGCAGAAATGGCTTAGCACTGCCAGATTTTGATGTATTTCAGAGCTCTTACTGTAGTATATTTCTAGAATATTTTATGTAAAAAAAAAATATAGTTAGCTAGGAAAATAAAAAGCCAAGTTCGTATTAACCAGCCAATTCTTAGTCTTGCTTGAGAAGAGTCAGAACAGAGTTATGGAGGAGGGAACCGAATCCCTCCCCACTTACAGAAGGAAACTGTAACATCACAAGGGTAACCAGCCAGCCAAAGCTTTGCTTCTTGACCTGGATGGATCAACCTACCAGAGTTCAACTACAGAAGCACAGAGGGAAAGAAAAAAAAGGCAGAAGTAAATCAAAAGCAAGCATTTTATTTTATAACTCCCCCAACTGCTCCTGGAAACATAATACAACCCACTGAAATACCTCCTAAAATGTTAAAAAAAAAAAAAAACAAAAAACCAAAAAAACCCACCACCACCATAAAACACTCCCACCCCAAAGCAAAAAAACCCAAACAAAACAAAAAATCCCCACCAAACCCCAAAACCTAGACAACCAACCCATTTACACTGAGATTCATGTTAGTGGATATGCAAAGTTACACTTGTAGAGACTTACTATAATATCAGTTCCATTTATATAAAAAACACTGGCAATTGACCAATAAATTTCAAGTGTATCTAAGTCCCTTTGCTTCTTGCTTTAAGACACTGCACATAGCTGCTGTGCATATCCTGGGAAGATCTAAGAGCTATCTGGATGCCATTAAACCTCTAAGATTATGCATTTTAAATTAATTTAGAACATTATTTTGTATAATAAGCTCAAATAAAAATTCCCTTTATTCTAACAAAGATTTAGAGGTTTTCAAGGTAAATAACTATTCCTCAAATGACTAACTGCTGTAAGAAAAATCAGCATGAAATATTCACTCTCCAAAAGAAGAAATAAGAAGCCCATTGTAAACATAACACAGAGTTGTTACAAGCTTGTTTTCAAACTTTATTGTTTGGTTGATCTGTCTTTGCATGAAGAAAAATGGTTAGTAATATTCCAAATGTCTAACTGCTGCCAGCTGTATACAAGAAAAAAGATTTCACAGGGAAGTCATGCTCGTGGTATCAAGGAATTAGCTAAAAGGGATCCTTTTGAGGACTTTCTTCCAGATGATATAAATTTCATAGCTTCTAAAAATTATACTGAAACCAATGTTAAGAGAAACAATATAAAATACTTCCTCTAGCTCTTCTGTCCTGAAACCAGCCCCCTAGCAAACCTCAGCATCTGTGTACTTACACAGCTGTATTCGTTCACTTAAGTTTCCATTCACAAAGTTGGTCCACTGTCTGAGCTGCAAACACATACGTGCTCTTCTGCTAACTCATCTGTTCTCAATTTCCTAAAAATCGATTTCATGGTCTTCTTGTGTTTAATACGAATGACATGAAACTATCTATTTGCAAAGTTCTCATAAGCTATTAATTCACACTTATTAAGAGCTGAAGCTTTGCCTTGCAATTAGAGATCAACCTTCAGATAACAATCCACAAGAACTCCCCTACAGGAAGAGCTTTTGGGGGCTTTTTGCTTTTATAATGACTTTTCCTATTATGAACACTTTGCTACATTTCACTTTTTAGACTCTTATAATTAACCTGAAACTAGATTGCCACACTGGATGCTAAGCAGATTTGTTAAACACCACAACTGAAAGAACATTTTCAATGTCATTGTCTTAATATTCCCCTTTCAAGACCATGGAAAAAGCTGCTCCACAATTCTGTTCAGAATGAAGTGGCTGTATCCAGATAAATAAAATTAAAGTTTTCAATCATAAGGCACATATAGTAATTGTAACATTTCACTAAGAGGAACTATAAAGCACTATTAAGAAACACATCATTAAATCAGAGAGCTCTCATTACCAGTACCTTGCTTGACTGAATCAGACACAACTCCAGAGCCAAATGACAACATGGACACATATCCATGTCTGTCAGTTTAGCAAGTGTTGGCAGATCTTAACCCCTGCTTATCCAAAAAAAGGACTGCTTCTCTCCACCCAACATGGTTCTTCAGGGCTGATTTGGAATAATTCCTCACACCCACTGCTTTAGGACCATGGCTCAAACTGCTCCAACAGGGCTGCTACCCACAGCAACTTCATAACCACTGCAAACTGTTTAAACAGCCCAAATAACTAAAGTCTACTACAAACTATTGATGCTGCTTCTCTTTGCTCTCTTCTACTGTCAAGAGCAGTCAGCAGATATGCACCCAACAAATAAGATACTACTGCTGGGTATCTGGATGCTCAAGGACATCGGTATTGCCTTCCAGAGGGCAGGTATTTGATGCACTCCTCACTTTTTGAAGACTGCAAGTATTTGTTTACCCTTTGAAAATCTTACATATAAAGTCTTGCAGTCTTGTGATGGGAATCTGCAGGCATGTATTTGCACTGAAACTAGGGGACTTTGCAAGATGTCAGACATCACTGGAAATGCCAGATGACAGCTATTCAAAGCAGGATATTTGGGTAGAGCATTTCCTTTCCCTCCCCACATATCCCAGACAAGTGCATTATCTCTATGTTCTTGTCACCTGGACAGTGTTGTCAGGGGAAACAGTACCCATCGGTCCCAGCCAGCTACACAAATTCAAACAAGGGGTTAAACTACTGCAGCATGTTGCACATAATTTTTCATTAAAATGTCTTATGGTGCTTTAAAACTTTTTCCAAACTCAGTAATATTGTCCTGAGGGAACAGTATTGGAAAAGCTTTCTGAACCCCTGTAGGGCCCATATGAAACTGGAACTAGCAGCTTTTTACATTTCCTGACAGACTGGAATTATTACTTTGGCTACTGCTGGCTGTCAGCTTTACAGAAAGCTTTTTTCTTCTCTACATTTTATCTCAATATTTTCAGTATTATGTTTTAATTACTTTTCAGAACAATAAACTGTTAGAGGAAAGTTATGTTGTTGCACACAAATATACTCCCATCTTTGCCAAATACATCTTTCCATTTGCGTTATCTTATCACACTAAGAAATATCCTCCTGAAAGGCACAGGCAGTTCCTTCTCCTAGAAGTGAATTTTATATCACAAATCCTTTAGAAGACAACTTTGTTTTCTCTGGCAGAGAGGAAGCATACTGCAGAAACAGGTGAAAACAAAGTTGCTAAACATGTTACTCCTCAGCAACACCAATATTTTGGGGGCAAAAAAAGAAGTATTAGAAAGATACTGTAGAAAAAAGATCTGTAGAAAAGAAATGTGTGCTAACCTCTGAGTTGAAAGGACCATATCTGTGGCCAGCAGCATCCGGTTGCTCAGAGTAGAAGGCATAAACATACGGCCTGAAAGAAAGAAAGGTCTTGTTCAGGTTAGCTTTCCTTTGACAAAATCACAAAAACACAGGCTAGCCAGGTCAGGTCAAATCGAGTCAACTGCCAATGAGACTTAGCTCTATGGAAAAAGAACTGTTTCTCAGTCATAGAATCCTACAATTATTTAGCAGTTCTCTGTTTCCATGGCATGATTAGTTGTTTTGCAGCTTTATTAAACTCAAGAACATGTGCAAGGAGGCACATGGGGTGCCATCTGAGGACACATGCTCATTCTAAATCTTGTAGGAGAAATCCCAAGAGCAGCTTGCCTAAGCCTTGCAGCAGCATGTGGGAACTTGTGTAGTAAAAGCCACTCCTAATTAAAATCTTAACATTTTCCTAGAGCTCTATGTCCAGTTCTACAACTGCCATTGCCTGTGTAAAAACATATTAGGTTCAGTAGGATAAGAACAATGCAAATTAATCCATGTAATTACATGCTTCTTGATAAGAAATAAATTCATACCATACATTAATTTGGAATAATCAAACAGCTGATGGCTAAAAGCTGATATAAAAAAAAAAACCAAAAACCCAAACCAACAAACCAAAAAAAACCCCAAATCCCAAAGAAATCACACTAAACACAAAAGCCAAACAAATCCTTAAATCAATGATGGCTTGTAACAGACAAAAATAAATTTCAGAATTAAATTTTTGCTTGCTCTTCCAGCTACTTGTAAAGAGAAGACAAACTAGCAATTATCCAACAGCAGATAACAAGTGAATTACCTTTCATTGTCTGGAAGGGTTAACCACTGAAGTATTGTTAATATTCTGCGCTCATGGGGGATGACACTGGACCACAAAATACAAAGATATACCTTGTTATCATAGAATAAAAAAAGCACCAACAAAATGCTTGTTATGAACTGAATTTAATATTAAGGTAATGTATCATAATAGCATAATTTGCTTTTAGCATGCTGTATTGTCTTTGTTGCTTAATACTGATTCCTAATTTGCAAACAGAATCACATTAGACCTCCTGAATGTCTACATACTCCAAAAGAAAGATGATTAAAAGTTCGCAAATGTAGTCAGAACTCAAAGTAATAAATCTACCTCTTCTAAGCAGGAGTGAATAAAAGATTCATTCAGGTGGCTTTAACCCAGATGAACTTTTTTGTATGCTGCCATTGGATAGCTGGCATAGGTAAAATCCACTATATTGCTCCCATCAGTACAGGCTTAAAAAAACACCCTGCTCTGGTAGTACTCCTTTTTCTCATTTCCAGACACTGGAAACATTTCCATTGACTTAACACTAGCCACTGAGGGCTAGGCTGGTGTGAATCAGAACAGAACCATCTGAAACACCAGGCCAGCAACACATGGACTTGAACCCTGCAGAACAGACCCATCTTTACTGTTTGTACAGTGGTTGCCATTCTCACTTGGCTGCTGATGCCAATTTTGTGCTATGACAATGACTAACATTAGAAACAGCTGTTAAAGTTCCTAATATCTTATCTTAGGAAAGCTCTGCAGGTCAGTGACCACACAGTCATTTTAATACAATGGCACAGTCAGTCCAGAATCCATTAGCTCAATAGCAGAATCCCAAGGCAGGAATCAGACACCACCATCAGTCACCATAATGAACTGAATTCAGCACTCTTTGGAAACCTCTGGCAGAGAAATAGAGATGGCAGCAGCCATTCGCAAATACCTTCATTTTTAATGCCTTGTAGACAAACAGTAGTCCTCAGTCTCCAGCTACATGGAGAACTTTGGGTTGTAAAAAACCATAAAAATGGGAATTTATACTAAAATTCACAAATAAGGCAAAATTTCAAACTGGAATAATAATTTATGGTACTGTCCAACTTTTATGTTTTTCTTACTTGTGCGAATATGAAAAAAAGAAAATCCAATAGTTAATTAACTCATTTCTGAATAAAATATTTTGAAACTTCTGTTTTCCTGAAAGAATCTGCTTGAAAATTCTCCCAAAAATATTCTGTGTACCAAATGAAATAAAACAGTTTTAAGACATATATATTTCAATCATACATAAATTGGCTGCCTCATTCCCTTACTAGTGCCATTCATACAACCTGTCCTTAGCTACCTTTTCTACATTCCATATCTCCAAGCATGCATTGGCCAGGGTGTTTATGTAGACTGTGTAGCTGTAGTTTAGTTTGTAGAGCACCAGAGTGGAGCACTGTGAGACTTCATCTTGCAAGCCTAAACCTGTTATCAGCTTGTGGTGTGTTTTATTATTCCCACTATGTGCTTTATGATATTTAGAACAGTAAAACATATTATTTCTAAAGGAATCACAAAAAAATAGTCAAATCTCTTTATTACTTCAGTCTTTTAGCTTAAACATTTTCTTTGCTCCTGCAATCCTGCCAGAAGATGCAATAGAAAGACCGATCTACATTAATTCCTCAAAAATTATCAAAAATCATTCATTTTTGGTTGTAAAGATACCTTTTAGTGGGAACAAGCAAAAATAAGTGGGAATCATTAAACAAGAGAACAAACAGCAGAGATCCTCAAGGCTGTTAAAAGTCAGTGCATTAATCTAAAGCAGCAAACTGTAGCATCAGCTTTAATTATCAGCAACTTTGCACAAACAAAACAATAGAGGGCTACAGGTAGAGTCTCCAAACTACCAAATTATTAGAGAAAGGAAACTAACTTAATAAACATTAATTGAATTAATTCTGAATTATTAGTTAAAAATCTCCAGAAAACAAAGTACTTACATAGACCAGAAGAACGTGCCAGCTTTCACTCCTTGCTTGGCTGCAGTAATCCAAATCTAATGAGGAAAATATAAGAGGATTAGAATGTGTTCAGATCTCTAATGACTTTCTGAAATCAAAAGAAAATGTTTTCAGGACACATTCTTCTACCCTGAGCCTAGAATTGAAAACTGCAATTTACAGCCTCAGCCCTAATTTGAAAACGAAGAGTGACAAACCTATGCAAACTCTGTAGCAGTGGGTCAGCTGCTGTGCTGTAGACTTTCACCCCTAAATCTCTATGTTGCTTTAATTAAAAGCACTAAGTTTCATGGCCAGGAATTCCTCCAGTATTTAATTTCGTTTTCAAAACCCAGCCACTACTCACCTGACCCTTTCAGGTTCAGGTTTTGGAGGATACTCAGTTAGAAAGGAACAAAAGCAACATACCTTAGCACTAATCAGTGCCTGCATAAATGTCCCTCTTATCAGAATCCTACGATCAGTGGCCATCAACACAAGATGTGTTAGCAGAGAGTACACAAAAAGGGCCACAGAGAGTGACTCGGAGGTGTTAAGACTGCAGGGAGGGACACCTCCCTACACAGATATTTAAGAACTTGAGCTCACCCAATGAGATGATTGATGAGAATGACCGAAAAATCTCCATGAAATTTTCAAACACTTTTTTCAATCCTTCAAGTCCCTTGCCTTTTTCTAGCTGTAAATCAGTTTGCAGCAGAAAGTTCTGCAATGTAGTTACACACTCTATGAGTGTATTTTTAATTTTGTTTGGTTTAAAACCTGCTGGTTTTCAGTGGGGTTAGGGTACCATTCTCATACTTCAAAACAGGTTATTAATCCTTTCTCTTCCCACTTCTATACGGCATTCATGATATTCCCTTCTATTCGTTCCTTTTCAAACACAGGTTTATTTGATGTTTTTCTAATGAAAGCTATACCGTACTCCTGGTTATCCTTACCACCCTCTTTCTCTCTTCTATCATATGACTCCACACAAGGCAGGGGAATGAAAATGCTGGAGAATCAGAAAGATTCACAATCAAGGAAAGCAAACAATGTTTGTAGCTCTACAGAACTAAATTTCTCTTGCAAGGAACTGTCCAAATTATCTCAAAACTCATTTCAAAAGTGTAGAGCTAGATTATTTCCTCCCATTATTTATGCATACTGCAATGTATACACCTTATGAAGCATTATTTTTTTATGAAGCTACATTTTGTCAGCTCACGTACATAAAAAGTGCAGGTTTTTTTTTTACTTTAAATCAACTCTTTAAAAATTCAAAGTCCCTGTACCTTGCTCCAACAGGCACTTATAAACTGTCATCTGGACATGCATAATTCAAATGACATTCCTGAATTATTCACACATCAGTGTTAACCGAAATTGATTTGGCACAGTAATGAAAGATCATTTGCACAATGAGGCTATAGTTAACAGCAATTAGATTTAGATATTGCAACGTTATTGAAGGGAAAATTGCGCATATTTGCATTTCCATTGCCCTGGACTCAACCTTTACCTCGCACCTTTTATTCCACCAAATCTGACTGGACTCAGTACAATTAAATTAAAATTACAACTATAAAAGGTCATTTGTTTTCATTTTATTCTAACTTTTTAATAATGCTAGAAACCTCTTTTCCAGTGAAAACTACATCCGGAGTAACACTATAGAAAGGATGTTTTACTACATACATGCAGAAAGATCAGGAACAGAATGGCCACAGGTTTGGAGCCCACTCTGTTTTCAGGTGCCTCTCCTGAAGAATCTGATTTCAGTCTTAGTTCATATTTACAAACACTCAAGCTGCCACTCAACAGGGAGTACCCCAAACATCTGCCCCAGACTCTGCAGACCCAGCCTTCCCCAGGACCACATTTTGCATGGTGACAACGATCACAAAATCACGTGGCTGCACAGTAACTGCCAAAAAAAACCCCATTGCTTTGAATTTATATTGGAATTTGGGGGTTATAGTTGAATAACAGCAATATTGTTTTCAGTATCTCAGGATACTGAAATTTGAATAGCACAGGATACTAGCTCTGATGGGATGGGACACATGCAAGTGAACGGGAAAGGGAATGTGCCTACAACCCAGTGACCATGTCGCTCAGCCCACACACTGCAGTCAGGAGTATGATTGCAATGCAAGGATGCTTCTTTGGGCCACACAGTCAGGGTATATAACCGGCCTAGATACTGGCTAATTAAGGTAGTCATTCATTACATATTCATTAGTGCATCATGGTATTCCCAGGTGAAAAAGGGTCCACACTTAAAGCAATTTCCTTTGCATTGCAGATTTATTCATAGAGAAAAACCCAGTCATGGCAGAAAAAGGAGCTCAACAACACATTCAGCATGAGGTATGTGTCAACACCCACTGCTGTTATGCTCTTGTCTTCCTCTACTTGGAGAACCATTGTCCCCACAGCAGATTTATTTTTCTTTGAAAATGTTTGTGTTCCTGAAAATTCTAAATAATTTTGGGGAGTACCAACAAACTAAGTCCAGGGAATTCTGTGTTTGGATTTTACTATCTGCAAACTCTAGTTTGACTTCCTAGTGCTTTGAGCCACACAGGCCCAAACTGGTCCAGTCTGCCTGGCTGTCTAAATGAGACCAGCCAATTTCTACCCTGATCAGCTGAAGATGTCCTGTGCTGCTCCTGTCTTATACAGCTGAATTCACCTCTGAACCGGTGTATTTTAGGCAGTGATATTAAACACGTGCTAAAAGACACTTTCCCTCCAGCCAGGCGAGTAAAAGACTTGTCATCCTGACAGATCACTAACTGGATCATTGGTATATTGCCAAGGTAGCCAGCACATCTGTGAGGAAGTGGTCACTATATTTTCATTCTTGTTGAGCATAGCTGTGCTTCATGAAAACAGCATGCGCTGGGGTAATTCACATAAGTGGAGATCACTCCCAGTTGTGCAGTCCTAAGAGCAGTAAGTGCAGCCTAAAGGCATTCAGACTGGCTTCAGAGAGGGAAAAGCTGCACCTGCCAGTACTTCACCTCAGGAATGCAGCCATTTACATTGGCATTAGCAGTTTAGATGAGTACAGGTGTCTGCTGCACTTGAAATAAGAGAAATAGCTAAGACAAGGATCTGCTGAAGTCTAAAATCAGCAAATCAAAGGGCCTCTATCTGTCTGAGTGAGTCTCAATGACTCCATCCTGACTTTGGCAGGCAGAGCCTGATTCAACTGAAGCTTACAACAAATCACTACTAGACCTCTGCTCTCCTTTGTTTTTTAAGGGGAAAGAAAAAAAAAAAATAACCCAGCCAGGCTATTGTGATTTATTTAAATCCAAATCAAGAAAAATCAGCTATCACCATGACACCTAAAACTGCTACTCAGCAATACATTGTGGATGTCTTTCAGCATGCAGAGAAGCAGCCATATCAAGGTGGAAGAATTTCTATTTGCATTTTTCAAGTTCTAAATAAAATACTCAACATGTTTCAGAGCTGAGACACTGCTGATGAATCTAGTAGTAGCTGTTTCTACTAGAGATATCCTTTGTTACCCAGACCCCTTAGTGGACAGGCAAAATTAGACAACAGACTGGAACAACTGATGGGAGCACACAAGTTTGTTTAGAACTTTGGCTATAGGATAACAACTTCAGGAGAAATGTTGGTAGCAAACTCTTACTGCAGTCTTATCGCCAGTGAACACCTCTCACTGTCTTTAAATAAATTCATTGCCTTTCAAGGCAGTCTACAAGTTGTGCAGCAGGGTGGGATAGAAAACAAGTTATCAGGTGCCCTCTCAGTGCTGTCTATTCAAACCAGTTGAAATTAAGATGCAAATAAGGGTTATTGTTCTGCAAGATCAGCACCATTTGTGAGCTTATGCAATTTATTTGCCGTATGTAATTTTGTTGGGTTTAACTGTTAATATGTTAGAATTTTATAGTCAGCTGTTTATGTCAAATGTCCACTCCTGGGTTTTCGTAGGGGACAAGCCTAATTGTGTTGCAAACTATATAAAGGACATATTTCTGAATTAATTTGCTTAAGCAGAGAGAAGGGAAATAAATATTTGAGAAATAATGAGATCAACCACTCTATCTTCCTACCATGCCACAGAAAAGCAACATTATCTAGCTTTACCAATACAGAAAGACCTATTAAATTATGCAATCACAGATTCAAACCTAGTAAACTGGCATGTGTCCCGAAAAATAGTATACATGCTTTCCTAGGCATATGTTAAACATATCCTGTAAGTTTAATTACTTTTATTTTTATATCCTCTGTGTTGAATGACTATAATTCTCCCCATTACTTATGGATGCAAGGAGACAAGGCTAAGCAATCAGTTAGGTGTCAATGTCATATGGAACATGGAAGTCCCAGATTCTCCCTTCTTCTCACTGCTAGACACACTGCACACAGGTGTGCAAGTACTTAATTCAGAGTTATTCAAGATAGCTGTGGAATTTTCTTTGAAAACCTGCACAGAAAGTGGGACACCTCCCTGGTTTTAATCTTCCATGAATAAACAAGAGTCCACAACTTCACAAAGGCTGACGCGTATTTGATGTGTCAGATACATCAAAGGCTGATGTAGCAATGAGAAATCCCTTCCACATCTAGGCAAAGGTGGGAAGGAGGAAATCACAACATTTCCAAGTAAAGAAATGTGTACAAGACTGGGGCAAGCATGTAGAATTAATACCACTCCTGCAACATTTGAAATTTGTTCTGCAGCAAGGTAAAATGTGGAGTAGCCCCTTCCACACTTCTTACATTACAGAAATGTTCTCCCAGACTTGGCAACTAAGCATTGCCTTCCTGTCCAGACAGAAGATTTTTGGTACAAGAAGTCTATTAAATAAATCGACAGAGTCCTGTTGCTTGTTCATGGCTCAAGCTGGATAAAAAGAAGTACTTATAAAATAGAATTACAGAGATCTCTCCTTCTGCTTCCCCTACCAATCAACAAAGTGATTGCAAGACCTGTTCAGGATGGAAAGGCAGATGACAGCATTCTGAAGCTCCTTCTGTAATTATTAGACAGACAAAATCAACAAAATTCCAATAATGGTTTTATTCTAAATACTGAGATATAAATTTGGATGAATCAGGAATATCAAGTAAAGATGCGGGGTCATGGTAGACTACAAAGACAGCTTCTCAACATGCTGTCTGATACCTAGGAATGTCATGGCCATGTTTAAGGATTAACATCTCAAGACAGTCTTTTTTTGAGTGTTGTGGTCTTTAAAAGGTTGATAGTGAATTTAAAGCTACATACAAGACACCCTAAACATCCATCAATACTTTTAAAATTATGATATTTCTGAAGTGAAAGACATTTTTTTGGACTCAACCTCAGATCCAAACCAAGTTACTTTGTGAAGGAGCCTCTCTGTCCCCATTAACCAGCAGTTGTATACCTTGCTTCTTCTGATCTTGGAGAGGCTAACAGGTTATTTCTAAAGATCATGGAAGGACACTTTAAAAATCCCCAATATATGTAGTGTAAGCTTAAACTCACTACATCAAACCAAGACATGGAAAACTAGTGCTTAACAGAAGCCAAAGACAGCTGGGGCCTAAATTTAGTGCCTAAAGTTACTTGGGATGAATACAAGAATGTCAGTGTCATGAAAAATGGGCAGTAAACTTTGTTTCCCCCATGGGCCCTGATGCTCACCATTTCTGTGAGATGCTGGTGCAGTATGAGGAGTGGTTTTATGGCTGTTTCCTATGAAACACTTTTGTTTTGAAAACAATGTTGTTTTAAGCTTATATAATAAATCAACATTGTATACTAAATCAGGAAGTCCCATAACCAGCTACAGCACCCTGAAACACTTCCAAACTACTTTCTCCCCCTTCTCCCTTTCCTAATGCTATTAATTTCTCATAAGTCCTGAAGTAAAAACATTCAGATACTCATCTGCCAAATCCCACTGATGTCTGGGGTAATCTGGCCATTTTTCAGTAAAAAACTGAGTATTAGAACAACAAAAGAAAGAAAGAAGGAAAGACCACCAAAACTCCCCACATTTTCATAGAACCATATACAGTAGGCCAGTTTCCAGGAGCAAGAAAGTATTCCAGAAATTATCAATGTTAAATTACATTCTCTCCTAGGCATTTTAGCCATAATACAAAGCTGGGAATCTTGGACACTTTTTCTGCACAGAAAAATAGTAATTTCCAATCCTGTGCAAACCATATCCCACTCTGCTGGTTTTGAGTACTTCAGTTTGAAACCAAGGACCTAAAAAGAGCCAGCTGAATATATGGTATGACAGACAGGATTCCTTTGATACATAGAGCAGGTATCCCTTTCTACTTCCTTGATTGAAGTGTCTCATCTTTCAACACCCAGCTATTTTGGGCAGTCTGTGTCAATGTCATATTTAAAGAAAATTATAAGGAGGCATTAGAAATTGACTGTATCTAACCAATACACAGACAGAGATAACTTCTCTTATAAAAATCTGCAGTTCTCTTATCAAATGTGAATTCTTGCACATACAGAGAGAGTATAATTTATATCATACTTCTGCAAGAGATCTATCACCTCCTTATCCAGCTATTGTGGCCACTCTAGCAGGTTTGCTCAATTTATGTGTTTCCCTCATATTATGTGTATGGGAGTTGAATTATAGTCCTTCCTCTGTGTATTTGCTTCCATTTTTCCAAAGACATGTCCAGTTTATTACATGATTAGTGTGTTTCTTTTTTAACAATTTTTCAGAACAACTGGTTTATTTTATCATCCCTATTTGGGTATTCAACACACCCACACACACACACCCCATCCTCTGTGGATTTCATCCAGCATAAGGTCACCCACTATTGCACAACTTTCTCAAACTCTTCTCAGCTGACATTTTTCACCCAGAAAAATCTTTTATTCCCTGGAGTAGCATAGGTGTGCGAATTAACGATGTTCCCCACAGAACACAGCAGGTGATGAAGTATTCATAGACTTACATTGTACTTCTAAAATATCATACTTGAAAAGTAGAGACATTTGTACAAGCCCCAGCAATTAGTTCTCCACTAACTCCTACCTAACCATGATTAAGGTAAGATGCAGAATTAAATTTGCAATGCTTAATTAAATTCCAATTGCTTAATGAGTTGTCCCACAGCAGCTGAGCCACAGGATTATCTACGAGCTCGACTCCAGACTGGAGCAGGTTTTAACTCTGGCTCTGGCTGTAGCTGAGATAAAGAGGTTACACACTGCTGCTCTTTCACTGCTCCTAGTTTTGATCCTGATTCTTTGCTTCCATCTGGAAAGGTAATAGCTATGTTCCTCACCACCCATGACAAAAGCTAACCTAGGTCACAGCCAAGGGAGTGCCTACACTCACTGACAGACTTTACAACAGCACAAATACTTCATTCTGGCTCAGCTACAGTCAGACACATCTGCCTGCAGCTCTAAATTGCCTTGTCTCTCATTTGTAGTGGACTAAACAACTTGCAGACAACACACACGCTTGCTAAGCCTGAAACTGTCAGAGTAATGAGCTTTAGCCTCTTGGGATATTTCTGTCTTAAGAGATTTGGGGGATGATACGGATCAATTTAGCAAACAGAAGTGACAGATTATGGTGTTCCCAAACCCCTTCCGATTTCCTCACCTCTACCAATCTCACTCCTTTGAGAGGTTAATTCATCAGGGAGCATTTAAACCATAGTTCCCTAAGCAATCAGAGCAATGAAATGTGTATGCACCTTGGCTTCCTGCACTTAAAACTTACTAGTTTTACTTTTGTTGTCAAAGAAAGCAGCTACAGCATGCACTAATAGGGGAATGTGCAGCAGAAGCAAACGACTGTCTTAGCTGTAGTAACACAGAATACTTGGAAGGACTCCATCTCCTTGCCTAGAAAAAGGTTCAGACCTAGACAAACCAAGTCCAACACTCATCCAAGAGACTGGACATAGTTCAGCCTCTGCTGCTACACTCAAAGTGGAAATTAATTCTCAAGTTTCCATAGCCTCTGCAGTAAATTACATAACAGTGATTACTTGTGGATTTTAATAATAATTATGTAATTACGCTGTGCTATGCTGACAAAATATTTATACTAAAATTTCTCAAGAACATTATTAGGATGAAAACCTATGAAACTCATAATGAAAAAGAAACATTATGCCACAGTAACAAAATCACAGTGATATACTGCTGCCTCAAGTGAGGGTTTTATCCTAGCTGTGGCTAATTTATACTTATCAGTGCAAGCACCTTTCCATAGTCAAAGGATTTATTATTCTGAAACACAAAAGTCAACTCAAAACATTACATTAAACTGATAGACAGAGGGTCAGCTGGAGAGGAGGGGGTAGGGATTAGGTACAAATTGTTCACATATGGTTTTTTTTAATTATTATTATTGGCTATGTTCCACAGCACAGGGGGAGGGGAGAAGACAGAGGAAGAAAAAAGCAGGAGGGAATTTGAAACTTACTGGTTGACCTCCCCACCATCTGTGATTGAATTTCTCTCGCCCTCGAAGACTGAAGCTGGCATCAAACACTGGGTCATACATCGAATTGCCAACAATCCCATGTGATTCAGGATAGAGTCCCTTTGTGCAGAAGTAGATTAATTAGTAAAACCCTAATGCACACAAATGCAGTGCTTCATAGTTATCTGAAAGTACCACTAAATTATGTTAAAATAAGTATCTTTGTAACTACATACCAGAAAAGATTTTTACTTTCAGATAAGCATATTTAAATCTGGCTATAGTAATGAAAGCAGTAAGAGATTATTGAATTGTGCTAAACAGAATAAAAACTCCTGTTTCAAATTTTTCACACTGTTTAAAAGTTAGTTTGAGGTCATCAAAGAAAAAGCATAAATGTACAAACACAAGATCAATTTGTACTTTCAGTTCCTCTTCACGAATGCCCTTTCTGGACACAATAATTCATTCTCTGGTTGCAACAGTAACTCTTAGCATTTCCATTTCCTACTATTTTTATCTTCATGACTGCTTCTGTTAGGCAAGTTATTTCCAAGAAAAAAAAATTAGGCAGGTGACCCAAAGCCATGGCTTTATATCACAATTTGTCTTGCAGTAAAAGCAATCCAGAGAGAAAAGCAGAAAATTCCTTTCTCTGGGCCCTCTCCCAACCTATTCTTTCTTTCTCCATATGCTCCTGTCTCATCCATTTAGACATTTGTGCAGCGGCTGCACAAAAAAAGAGAAGGGGAAAAAATTGCAGCTGCAGGTGGAAAGTCTCTTATGGCAGCTTTGGGAGCACTATCAGTGTCACACAGGTGTGGGGACAGCCTGGCTGCCAGCCCTGCCACTGCAGCACAGCGATGGCTCCTGTCACCGCAGGGCCAGAACAGCGGCCAGACACACTCAGCAGCTGCACACTGCCCCACTGACTTCAGCTGCTCCAGCACAGAAACAACTGCTGGTTGTACTCAGGGCAGCATTTCGGGGGTGGTTTTTTCCCCGTAGGAAAACTTTGACCTGTAATTATGCAGCAGTACAAATAACTGCAAAAGCAGGTATGAGCACAGGAAAGCTGTGACAGTGTATAATGGTGCAATACAATCCATTTCACCACTTCAAAATAAAAGAAAATACTTAAATACTTTTTCTTCAAAATGAAGAAAATACTTAACATAAATAAATACCAAAAAGAATGGAAAATAAAGTAGTTATACATATATATATATGTTGGGTTTTTTTACTTTAAACCTTGCTTTTCATATCATATATTTCTACTCCAATGCAACATTTTATAATGAAAAAATCCTTCCCAGGGACTTACAGTAGCAAGGGTGTACAAGTTGGGGAATGTTTTTGTAGGATAAACAGGTCTCATGTAAGGAGAATGTGTTCCACAAGATCCTGAAAAACCAAATGCAAATGTGAGGATGCAAAGCAAAACCAGAAAACAAAACCAGAAAAAGTAATCTCTGTGACTCAAAATTATGCAGAATCTAGTTAAATTTTAACTAATTTAAATGAATTTTCTGCTGCTTAACAGCAGTCAGCAGTAAGGGCAGTAGCTAATCTCTCATGCACTCTTTGTACTTCACAACTGATAGCTGAAATAACAGCTCTAGATGACTACAGAACCAGTTATATTCCCATACACTGGTTTATTTTTCCTGAGCTAGTCTCCACTTGGAGTCATTGGAAGTGTCTTGTTAAGTAAAATAACATGAGCAAACAGGTTTATTTTAAATAATAAATACACCAAAGCAGTTTCACACTGGACTTTGTGGCCTCAGCCTCCCCATCATTTAGGCTGGAAAAGACTTTCAAGATCATTGAACCCAACTATAGGTGACTACACAAATGTAAGGGCCAGCACACACACAGGGGAAAAAAAACCCAACACATTTCAAGGGTACAGTCACACACAAACTACCATGCAGTACAGAGAGGCTCAAATACTCAGTGCACCCAGTCCTCCACAAACCCAAGAGGATGCCCATTCCCAGGAGGGTGAGCGCAGGGCATGTTTTCAGCCAGTTACCGGGCATCCAAGTACAGCTTCTGCAGCCGCTTATCCACACCTCTGAGATTTCTGAATCAAGTGGAAAATTTTGAGGGTACCTCCCACCTAGCCTAGAAGCATGCATGATATGTATCGTGTACTAAAGATGAATTTCTTTGCTGACAAAACCACATGAAGGTCACTGATTCTGAGCAGCACTTCCCAAAGCAGCAGCTGTGTGCTGCATTTTTCAGGGTGCTTTCAAGTCACCAGTTGATATCACCTAATTTAAAGGGGACTTCTGCTATTTCATCTCCATTCTGACCTGAAGAGGGTCCCACGGAGAGCTGGCCGGAGTAATGACACTCAAACCGACATGGCTAGATGTCATCCTCTCTTTATTGTCTAATTTTTACATGTTTTATACCATTATTGCCATACATAATACAATAGCTGCTTAACATTCATTGGTTAACTAATATAATTACATATACAAGTTACCTGTTGATTGGCTGTTATACTACAAGCATCTGGTCAGGTTGCAGGATGGGACAGTTTTTCATATACTACTCAGTGTCCAGCATTGACTATTGTGTTTGTACAAAGTTTATTGTCTTTTCAAGGATGTCCTAAATACTTTAAAGTAACTAAAATAACTCTGTAATCTGCAGGCCAAGGTTGTCCAATTCCTGCAAGGGAATAGCATCAAGGATAGCATGTCCTTGTTCTACAAGAAATTCCTCTACACTGACCCTTCTGTTGCTCAATGAACAATGAAAGCAATTGGGCTGCAGAAGACTGTCTTTCAGTTATTGACAGAAAATAGATGTACTCACTCAGTTTTTCAATATTGGGCATGACCTTGTTCCCTTTCTTCATATAGGATGCACGGAAACCATCAACAGAAAAGATGATCAAAGGAGGACGAACAAAGCTGAAGGCAAAAGCAGCAGGAATATAAAGCAGCATTTCAAAATTTTAGTTTTTTAATTTCCACTTGCTCACTGAGCCTCTAGGAAATCCAGAAGTTCAGTTACTGTATAAACTATATACCTATAGTCTTTTACATACTTAACAGACCACGAGAAACTGATAATCCTCACACTTAGTACAGCCAGTGTTCACTCACAGTCAGTGAAAGGGCTGATATCCAACATAAAAGACATCTTCTCTGAGCTAAAAACATATAACTCATAAAGGTAAACGCTTATAAAAGGCGATGGAGAAGGAAATTTACCATGCACAAGTACCCAGCCCAGCACACAATCTCTAGTTAAAAACCACATGTCTCATGACAGTTGGTCTTCTTTCTCAAACAGAAGCCCATGGAACATTTGGAGCCACATGTGAACAAAGTTCCGGGCTGTGAGGCACAGTTCATTCTAACATACTAAAAATGACAGTATTTCTTGTTACTTTATTACTTTTTGAATTTACTACTGCTACTGAAAGTCAAGTCCAAACAGGCAGATACACACCATGTATGGACACACCTGGGCTTTTAATGTCATCTGCTGCAGGGGTTAGCAGCTGTCACTGTCACCAGGAGAAGCATCTCCAAACTATCCTAATAGCACAGCCTGAGGTGGAACCCAACACAGCACCTGAGCAGATGCTTATCTTTAGGGATAATAGTGAGAGAAATGGTTTCAAAAGTTACTTACTTTTCTCCACCTTACTTACATGCTCAAATTCATCTAAGCCTGTACCCCATTGCAGTTCAGAAATCCTTTCATTTAAGAGCATAATGCTAAAAGTATGTAATTCCACTTAAAAAAACAAGTGGCCTGAACTGTGTTCACATATGGCTTAACCTGAATTTTGCTATAAGCAGAACAACCTAGACTTTCCACTGACTTCAGAGGAGTCTGGCTACCTTCCCTATGCATGAAAGTGAAGCAGGCAAAACCAGCAGCAGATTGAAGATCAAGAGTTCAAACCCAAATATCATCCAGCAGCTCAAAGGCATGACAATATTATGAGCCCAAATTAAGGCAAATGCATTACAATATTATGAGCTTAACTTTAGAAATGGTGAAACCCAGGAAAGCATCCAACCCACAGTTATTCAGCCTGCATGACAGAGCCAGTGCAGAAATGTGATGGGTAGAGGTCCAAGGCAGAGCTAGGGACCAATGGCTTTACTACATTTGCCTTTCCAGATGCAGGCAAAACACTTACCCTGCTGGACATTCAGGAGTCTTTATCTCTTCACAGTCATCATCCACCCAGTGGGTTTCTCCTACCAGAAAAGTCACATTGTAGTTATAAAAAGTAAAAAATACCAAATCTGTGGATACAGCTACAGGTTTCACAGAAAATATACATAAAAAAAAAAAAATAAAGTCTATCTCCAGTTAATGGACTGACTTGTCATACTTCCCATGAATAATAAGAATGTATTTTCACAAAGCTGAACAAGTGATCTGGTTATATTCTATTCAACAAAAATATCCAAACTAGCACTTTTACAAGCAGCTCTGAAAACTGGAATTAAAAGTGTCCTTTTGACCGCAGGAGACAGTGATAACGCTTTAGACACAGTGGTCATCTATTTTATTTTTTTTTTTTTTTTGATCTGTCAAAAACAGGTAGTGCTGCTTCTGGCTGTGAATTCCCACCCTCGTACCATCAGTTCTCATGGCTCCATGAGCTGATTCAGCTGGCTAAAGGCATAAAACAAAATTCATTCTGGGAAAGAAAAACAGCTCTAAATAGTTTCCAGCTGGCTTAGAGAGGTGATCAGCTCATGGATCAGGTGAGACTCAAGCTAAAAAAAAGCATTAAATACTCTTTCAGAGCTACATTAGTTAAAATTACTTTGTGTAATCAACTATTTTCTTAAGGTTTTCACTGCTGAATGCTGTCTATAGAGTGGCTCATGACTTACACTTCTACAGATCAATTGAAAAAACTGAAATTATTAACCAATGACCCTACTTTCTGAATCTAGTGCTATTAAAGGAACTGCAATTCAATTAAAATAACAAAACAAAAAACATCATAGAAAAGACCTGCAGGAGATGTGTGCTGCAGCAATTCCAACTAACCATGACAGGAGGTGGATGGACAATTTCCAAGGGGAAAGTAAAAACCAAAAAACGCACTATCCTCAGATAGGCAAAAGCATGAATAAAGAGGAAACACTGTTCTCACATAAAGCTTAGTCATGTCTAAGTTCCACGGTCATTGAGATAATTTGTTATTACCCAATTAAATGAATATTATGTACGTTAAAGCTAGAGATATACAAATTCCTCTCTCTTGACCCTTGTGAGAGGAAGCTCACCAAAAAGGCAGGAATAGAAACGATATCAATATTTAAGTGGTCTCAGCTTCTGGTTTCTTTGGGAAGGGGAAGGACAATCTAAAGGGATTTTTTAGAAAATACATACTCCACTTGGATTCCCAGCAGCAAAACCCAAGTAAACAAAAAGCTCCATTTTCAGTGTATAGATGGATCTGGACTATTATAATTTTGTGAACATATGCATTTGTTCAAAATGGTGAAATTATTTCAAACTGTAACCCTTGCCACATAAAATTAATAAATGAAAAAAACTAAGGACTAGGTGAGATACAAAAGCAAAAACCTGTAGAGCTCATTACCAAGGACCAGAAGACTTGCTCTCAATGGCAGATGCACTAGACAGGCATCCATGCTCTAAAAGAGCAGAGCAGTGGATGAAAATAAAGTCTTCAAAGCCCATCCACCCAGCAGGCAGTTCAGGCTGTTCTGAGCTCGGGTGGGTCAGCTGAAGCCCATGCCACCCACCTTGGAGTAATAGCCCTTGCATTCTTGCAACTCCTCTTCCACAAGGAACAAAGCCTACAGATCTTAGACCAAGTGATTTGAGCAGGAACTTTTGTGGTGAGGGTGGAGAGAGGTCTTTGGGACAGAGATAACATATCTAGGAATGTTCCATTCCTTCTGAGATCATTAGAGATCCCTGCACTCCCCGTGATGCAGACAAATGCATCTGAACACTTTAGAGCTTTGCTTTAAACTCTTCTTCATCCACCTCCATCTCTTCTCTTTCTACGGGCAAAGATAATGTCCTTCAATATATTATTTACCCCTGCTAGTGCCCAGAAATTTACAAATGCGATTGCCCACTTTCCCCACCTCTTAAAAAAAATCAAAGCAAAACAAGGAGAGTTCCTCTTTTGGATTAAAACTTGTTACCCTACATTCTATTGGGTTTGAAAAAATAAGAGGTAGAAAGACTAAAGACCTACCTTTGCAAACGACTTGGTAATTAGTACAACAATCTCCTCTACTTAAGCAGTCTTCAGAGCAGTGACAAGCATTGTCATCATTCCTGGTTTCTCCACAGCGATCTTTAGTACACTCCCAGCCCCGAGCTAAAATATTCACAATGTAAGCAAGAATGAGAGATTGTAAGCAAAAGAAAAAGTATTAATTCACACTATAATGAAAACACTCTAGTCGTTAAACTAGGTATGTCAACCAGAAACTAAAAGGATCCTTGTCACTTGCAAATGCAGCAGGGCTCCTCCACAAACACGAGTGTGAGTGTTTCTGCTACCCTCATGTGCTGTACTCCAGCCTTTGTACAATCTGAATGCTAGAAAAAGTGTGGAAAGGAAAAGACAAAAAAGGATAAATGGTGGAACCTAATGCACAAACCAAGAATTCCAGTGTTTCTTGGGTAATCTTTGCTTTTCCTCGCAATTACTACAGTCCCCTGTTCAATCCGTAAAAATAAGAAAGTAGAGAAGAGACTACATCAATGCAAAGTGATACCTTGCTCCCACCATCAGTTCCTGACCACAGGGCAGATCCAGTACCAGCCTCAAAGATATGAAAAAAGAAGAGCTGTTCTTCAAGGAAAAGCATGGCCTGGCTGCTGTGAGAATTCCATCTTCTCTCGTCTTGCAAATGAATTTAAGATCTGGCCTGTCTGAATTAGGTGCTCTCTCAAGGGTAGTACATTGCTTTGGAACAGGGCCTATGGTTTTAAACATATGGTTTTCCACAATAAGGCCCACACAAGAAACTATAAAAATCACTTTAGACAACATGCACCCAGTAAAAAAACACACATCAGAGCAATGCCTTTTATCCCCTTTTCTGCTTCATTTGGGGCTTTTTCCTGTTAAGTGTGTAATACTTACAGATCACACGTGATAATTGCCTGAATAAATGCCTGTGGGAGTATATGACTGCTAGCACAACAGCCCCAGGGGCCATACAGGTATCCATATGCATATGTGAACATATGTGTCTGCTGTGGACAGGAGGGTGAGGGACTGAGATTCCGCCCTCTGGCAGCAGACATTGTGTCTTCAAAAAGAGCCTCTCCTTCTGCAGCCATTTACAGCAAGGGAAGAATAGCATCAGGCTAAAATTTAGAAATTTTTGGCCTGGAACCAAACTTGTTTTTCATACTAGATTAGCTCACTCTTTTTTTGGTACCAGTCTATGAAAATTATGTAATCATAAACAGAACTGAGGAAGTCAGGACTTTCAAGCATGGCATATCCATAGGCAATGATATTTTTAATCATTACACTTTTCTTCTGGTTGCTTAGTAAGTATAATACTTCAATAAAGCAAGAACAACTTCAATGGCAAAAATAAAAGGCACCTGTGTCAACACTGACCACTGTGCAAACACTGAAGGAGATGGGTACAACTAATAATTTAAATGCACTATGCTAACAAGTAAAATATGACTCATGTCCCTCTTTGAAGTTTTCCTTGCCTATGACTCATGGGGAAAAAAAAAAAAAGCCAAGAAAAGAAAGTGAACTTATTGCTATATTTCTGTCCCCCAGGATCCAATGAATTGAAGGCAAATGTTTCTACAACTGCAGTAATATGCATCCTAACACCTGGAAATCAGGGTCTGAGGCATGGGTAGCAAGCCCTGGCTGTCTCCTGCTCCAAGAGGACCTGTACCCCTTCAATGATCCTAGCTTCCAAGGCATCCTCTTAAGTGAGCCTGAATTGCTCTAATATTAAGTTAGCAGCTGGAATGAAAAAGGATGGCTGACACAAAATGACCAGTTTTTATCATGGTCTTTGATTGTAAACTAGAGGTCAGATGGCCGCCTGAACACTATTAATACATTTAATTTAGTATCACAAGATCTGCTTTTCAGTGTGATAGGAAGAGTACTCTGCTTTTTCTGCCCTCCACAGTAAGGAGCAGTAGGTGCACATTCCTACTGCTCCTTGCAAGGAAACATGGGCTGCATTTTGGGCTGAGCTGAGCCTGGCCAGCCAAGGCGAGGTGAGGAGGAGCTGCAGGTTATGCCAAGAAGTGCTGGTTTATCAAAGCAGGTCCTGAGCCCTGGCAGAACCCAGGTGTCAGCAGGGCCAGGCAGTGCAGGACAGGAGACCCACCATACCTGTCTTTAAGCACAGCTCATCAAAGTCGAAGCAGCAGCTGTTGTAGCTCTTGCACAGGTTGTCACAGCGGCAGCCAGGAGGCTCTGCCTCTTGAAGTTCAAAGCATCTGTTTTTGCAGGAGCCAGAGGTATTGATCCAGGGGGAATCTGACAGGACTGTGTGGAACAAGAAACAGGGCAACATCTGTCAGGCTGGCAAGCAGTGGGGCAGGCAACTCAGCCCTGAGCCACTCCAATGAGCAAGACCTTGGGTGCTTACTCGGGGAAAGAGAAGGGAGAGCAGAAGAATTGCTTGAAGAAACTAAACAAAAAAAGAACAAAATTTTTTTAAATGTTGTTCTTTAGGGGAAAATAAAAGGAAGCAGCATGCTGTGATAACATCCTGCAAAGAAAGAGCCCTGGCTTTACCTCTGTAACAATCAAGAGATCATTAGCAGAAATGTATTGAAGTCTCCAAGGCCCCATTTCCAGGAGCTGCAGCTATTCCACAGAAGCAGGCCTTTGTTTTCAGAAACCAAGTGACATTTTCATGGCTGGCTGGGCAGTTTACATAGGAAAAGACTCCAATTAATCTACATGCAGACAGCAGGACTTGGTCTGCTACACTGGAAGGTGTCAAATCAATGTGAAGCATGAAAGAAAACTTTAAAATGCTCTGTAAATTAATGGAGAAATAAAGCAAGGCTTTTTGATGGGCTTCTGCAAAACACTAAATTATAAAAACTTTAAAAAATACAGAAGTATTCAAGAAATTAATAATTATGTATATAAGTAAATGGAGGGCTGCCAGTCTGCAAACCATGAATAATGTATTAGACTTCAATAAGCTATTTATTAGTAAAGGCCCTTAATGTCAAAGCTGATATATGTCTGCTCTTTCCTCAAAACTTACTATTTTATACACTTCATATATTTTAAAAGTTTTTATTGTAGGAGAATCCTACATAACAGCATATATGAAGCAGGAAAATTGTGTGCTTATCTCTAGGGTTAATTGTATTTTGTGAAATAAAGTAGGGAGAATGTATGTTATCCTTTAAATATAGAGGTGTTCCAAGGAAAATTTCACAATGCCTTTTGTTCCTTGAGAGACCTATTAAAATTAAGTATTTGAAGTTGTCTTGTGTTTTGTTTTCTTTTAGGCTATGGCTTGGTTTTGGGTTTGGCAAGCCTCACCATGATTAGCAGCATGACTTTTAGAGGACTGATGCAATGGCATTTTTGGGAATAGTTGCTCTGATATTTTCTTATGTACTTTTCCCCCTACACTTTTACATAGCTGAGAGTTTAGTTTTCACATAAACTGAAGGGAAATCTCTCTCCCAATAAGATGGCATTAACTGAACACTATGAGAATGGATAGAAAAGATGACGAAGGGAGAGTTTGGAGGTGACATTGCAGCAGCTGATGTCTCACCAATCATGCACTACTGCTCCACCACTTCCCTTGGAGTGGCACTGACTGGACACCAGCACAAGCCACTTCAGGGAGCAGACTTGTCAGAACAGCAGGATCTTAGGTAAGAAACCCAAAAGGTGCCACAGCTGCAGTCATGGCTCATAGCAGCAACAAGGCACACTCCTGTAACTGCTGGAAAAGGTAGTAGCAGATAACCCCATCTTTCTGGTTTTGTGGAGTTTTATTTCAACCAGTTCAGTAGCGCTCAGGGCGAGTAACGTCATATAAACAGTGACGTTTCACTCTATAGGTACATACCCTGCAAGCATGCTCTTAGTGAGCCATTAGTGTTTTGGCCATCTGAAATTCCAAGGAGATAAAGAATGTGCATCTATGCTGGCAACACACAGATCAGTATTTCCTTTGCTTACATAAGTAGGTCACAAAGCTATGCTAGAAAATCACATGAGAATAGTTTCAAATAATTATAACACTCAAATTTTCAGAGCTATGAAGCTGTGGTCCTTATTTTTGATGAGAGCTCCTTCCTATCAAATGCTTCTGAAAGTCTATTACCAAAAAATAATTTCATATTATTTAATCTCTTCCATTACTTTCTTTTTTGGAAGGTAGGTAATATATAATCACAGATCCAGTAAGCGGCAAATCAAAGGTATAAGAAAGTTGAAGGTATTACATACCAGCATATAAACCTTACCCTGGACATTACTCTTCATTTCAAATGGCTGAGAGGGAGACCTTTTCAGAAGGCCAAAAAAAACCCAAAACCAACACATCAACATGTGTTTAGGAAGAGAAGGTGTAAATCTGACTGCAGATTATGTAAGAGACAACTAATTGCAGCTCAAGGAATGTCTCCCTGTTGTAAAGAGCAACTCATTTATACCAGGCAACCACCCCCACAGAAGCTGTGCAATCTCAGAGCTTGAAGATTTTCAACAAGGGCTGGAGATCTAGAAGATCTGTCAGAAGTACTTCAGTGACAACTGTCCAGGTCTTGGGATATGAAGATCTACATGGCTGTTCAAAATCCCTTCTAGCTCCATCTTCTATAACTGCAAATAGGGTATCCATTTAATGCAAGAAAGGTTTAGCCTACCTTGTCTAATTTTTTCACATCTCTTGACAACCACCTCAATAGTGATGTAGTGAATTATCCCAAATAATTTAGCAAATTCAAGTCACACATCCTGAGTCAATGTAGGACACTTTCCATATCGCAGCACAAAAGAGAACTTGCTGAATTTCTCCAAATACATTAAGATCACTCTTTGTTTCTCATGCTTGACCTTGCCTTTGCAGCCAAACCATGATTTTCAGGTCATGCACAATGCCATGGCACAGGAACTGGCACATGCAAAACAGTTTGAAAATATGTCATCAGGAGCTTTGTCCCTGGTGAACCCCTTCAAATTAACAGAAACCCCTGTATAGAACAAACTTAGACATTTTAAACTTATTTTCAAAATTCCTGCATCCCTCCACAGCTCCTGCAGTCAGTGCAGCAGGCACAGGGACCTCAGCCTGAAGTCCCTTCCTTCAGTTGTTAAATTTCCATTTTAAAGGTGTTATATTTATCTTAGAAAGTGCCATATCGAACTATTTCTTTTGATTCTGTCTTATTAAAAGGTTTAAAAATAATGAAATCTATTTATTTGCAGTAGTGTTTAAAACAGGACTACACAATATAAACATGCTTACAGAGCCATTAAGAAGACTACCTAGTAAAAATTTACCATTTTGGATCCCATATGGAACCTATATGGAACAACAAAATACTTAAAGCATCTGGAGCACTAGTTCTGCTAGATGATACTCCTATTATAAACTTGCTCTTCATCTTTGCAATGAGTTAAATCCAAACGGAAAATCAGATAAGGGCATTACTCCATTTTTAATTCCATGCTTAAAACTACAGTGAGAAGAGATAGAAAAACTACAGTGTTTCTCCTTCCAAAATATTAAGTTATCCTACAGTGACCAAGAACCATGCTTCAAGAGATTACTAAGGCCATTTTCCCTGAAAGTGCTTTAAAAGATGGCTAGGAAATTCATAAAGCAAGTAACTTACAAAGGCAAAGTTAAGGGAAAATGTGAGCTTTGGTTCTCTACTGGCAAGAGTATCATAGACTTTTGAGTAAAAAATTTATTTCAATTAATAAATTAATAAATTCAATTTGTTGGGTGCAAATATTCAACATCTCAAGTGTATAAAGACATATCTGTACACTGTAAGAAGAGAACAAGAAGGATGTTTTAGTCACTATGGTGGTACTTTGGAGTGCATTTACAAGGGACTAGGAAACAAACATTATGTTTTTGGCTCACAGAAGAATTCTATGCTAGATGAAAATGAAGATTTGCTTACAATCATGGCATACCTCTGGAGAAATATTAAACTGGTTTCTACAATAATGTTTGGTAAAGAAAGAGGTTTGCCAATATAAAATAATTAATTCTCAATGTCAAGACACTTGGAAGCAAATAAGCTAAAGAAGAGTGAAGCTGAAAAAGAATTTATACCAATCTTTTCTTCTGGATATTTCATTGGACTGCTCTTCTAATTAAGTATAATTGGAAGTCATGCAATTAAGAGTGACTAAGGTTCTTTGATCACAGTGCTTTCAGTTTGCTAAAATCCCCGTACATCTCCAGTGTAACTTTTTACTGCCTATACTTTACTGTGGCTATGCTCCTTTATGCTTTGCTATATTTTTTTTTCTCCTGCAAGAAATGTAACCAAGCTACAGAAACACAGAATAGACAAAATCCTCCATTACTTCTGTCTCTTTTTATTGCACCCTTGCCTGGACTACTTAAATAATAGTCAGTCTCACCTGCAAACAAATTTTCAATAGATTTCCAAAAATACCCCATCTCCTGCCCTTTTCAAGAGATCCTGTGTTTCTTCCTACTCTTCTGGAATGCTGAGCTAATCCTCCTGCTGTTGGAAGGAGCACACGGCTACTGTTCCCAGCCCTGGAGGTGTTGAACAGTGCTGGCTGGCTCAGCAGAGTTGGCACCGATCAGCAGCCATGGGATCACAATATCAGACCTCTGGGTCTTCAGTAAAAACCAGCTGAGCCCTGCCCTGGACAGTCACCAGTGAAAGCAAAGCACCTGGCACTCAAGTGCTGAACACTTGAAATGCAAATACTCCCTATTAAACACATTACACATCTGTTCTACAATTAACATCCTAGAAGACTTTTAAAAATTATTTTTCAAGCCATTTTTCTTTTACTGCTATAAAGATCAAAAGCAACAGCCACTATCTTCTTGATTACCTAAAATGCCTCTACTCAGTGACCAGCAGCCCTGATAGGGGCTGTGATTAGACACCAATTCCTCAAAGAGAGAGGACAGCAGTACACAGATACAATACCAGGAATACAACAAACTCTGGCCACGGCAAACAATTTTACAATTGTTCTTCACAGTCTATCATTACAGACAGTCACTGCAAATGAAATCCTTTCACTTCAGTTACGTTAGCCAGCTCTAAGTCAATGACCACAAGTTTCCTTTCTCCTGCCAGAGGCACAACTCAAGCCCACTTTTTCTTGAATAAAAAAAGGACTAGTTGTCTGGTTTACACATTTTTCCTTTTGGACTATGCTTGAGCTCACAGAACCCTATACTGCCCCACAACATAAATAACAGTTCCTCAAATGGCATGTTCTTGCTGTCTTCCAAAGGAAAAAAAAGGTAGTAGGCATAAGAAAAGCAGAGGACTCGGTGACAGCACATCTGCACGAACACCTGCTCTCCTCTCACAGCCCTCTCCGCCGTCAGATGTCTGCCGTCTACTGTTCACAAACCAGCATGACCTCAGGAGCCACAGAAATCCCAAAAGCTTTTCTCACCAGTGCCTCTTGAAAGCATTAATCAAGTTTCTAGAAACCGCTTCAATGCTACCACAATAAATCCACCACCCTTAAAGCCATCAGGGAGTTTCTCTTAGCGCTAGAAGGAAGCCGTGCAGAGTACAAAACACTGCAAACACTTCAGGAGCTGAGGAGATGAGTCTCTGTGAGACTGACAGTGCTCAGTCCTAAAATAAGCTAAATTTTCTGTAGTCACATGCACACAGAGCAAAAGTTTAAGTAAATAGGAGACCTATAGGTGAGTCCCAAAGGTCAACTGACTCGGGCTCAGCAAGTTATTTATTCTTCTCCATATCCTAGAGGGAAAAGGAACAAGCAAACTACTGTGACAGAGTAGGAATGGTTCCTAACCGCAGTCTATAACATAAGGCTATATGGTGATGTACAATTTATGTCTGTTACTGTACCTGAGGCGGGGCCCTCATCCCATTCTTCAGATCTCCTAAATCGATTTGCTGTAAATCCCATGCAGACATTTACTCCAAAGGCAAAAGCAAATAAGGATATAACCTGCAAAAGTAAAACAGCAAAGTAAGCAAACTGTGTAAGAAGAAGGACTTTTGCACTAAGAGCATTATGCATAAAGGGCAGAGATGGTCCTCAGTACATTGGAGCTCCCTAGTACTGCAGTTCCCATCACTGGAGCAGCAGCTGACAGCGTCACCGTTGGAGAGTAACACAAACCAGAAGGGGTTTATGAATAAAACATCTCTTTCTGCAGCTGAAACGCTCCTTTTTGTAGGAACTTATTCAGGAGAGACGGGCTACTCCTCCTCTAAAAGCAAACAGGCTCCTCTCCTTTCCTACCTGGTGCGAGTGGACGCAGCCCTGCTTAGCCATACCAGGGAATTCTTGAAAAGCCTGCGCCGCACTGTCGCCTTTTTTTATAGTGAGCGCAGAGCTGTTTGCTCGGGGAGTTCAGGCTATTAGCTACGAGTAATCCCACCTGGTGAGGTTGACAGGCTCGTGTGATTTGTCCAGGGGGTGATTTCATCATGTTTCACTCACAAATCGCAGCTCCGAGTGCAAGAAGCTCCAGGCATCATCGCTCGCTGCGCCCTCCCCCAGACGCGCACCCGCGGCTTTTATGTGGTTTCCTCTGGCAGCGCGGGGCTCGCTTGTGCCGCTGCGGCCAGGGGCTGCTCCTGCTCGTTTTATTCTCCTCGCGAAAGTAACACGCCTAAAAGAGGAACCAAATGCGGCTCCATCTGGCTCAGAGAAGGAGCAGGGGAAGCTCGCTGGGGCTGCGAGGTGCAGATCTGGCGCTGCCAGCCCCAGGACTGCCCCGGCCGTGCCAGGTGAGCAGCCGGGCTCGGCCCGGGCCGGTCCGGCTCCTTCCCCGCGGCTGCTCCCGGCTCCTCGCCGCCCTTCTTTCTGCTGCTGCGGCAGGGCAAGGCTCGTATCGATGGAAACACAAGCAGTTTCATCTGAATAGCTGGAAACCCCAGACTTCCAGAAAGGAAGGGAAGTGACACGTTCCCTCTGCCCCACATTTCCCCATTTTCATCAACAGAAAACTTGGCTGTTTGGATAAGCCCTTTTATTTACAAAGCAAATGATAATGCTGAACAGAATTACGGTTCAAATCAGTGGCTTAAATATTATTTGCCAAAGCAAATTATTTACCACTGTAGTTTGCCACTATTTTTTCTCTGATGAAAGCTTCTTTCATGCAAGTGTTTACTAACAATTACATTTAAAGGGACAGAGTCAAGGTTTGTAAGCCCTCGGGTGGACTGAGCTTCCCTTGGGACCTGTCCCATATTCTATACTGGCATAGAAAGACACAGTACAGTTTTCTTTAAAATATTTTGCAGTATTAAAGACATACAATTTTGAACTTTGTTTAGAGGTAACTTTTACCTGCTGAAATAACTCCCCTACCGTGTAGCTTTACAGGAGAATCTAAAAATCCCTCCTCTTTGCCGCCCAAGTGTCAGCCTGCCAGCCTTTAGAACCTGAGCTTTTTTTATGCAGTTTCTTAACTGAAAGTGGCTCCATTGTGCAGCTGCAACTTTGCATTGCAAGGCTCAAGGCAATGTAATTAGCTTGAAAATTCCAACACGAGGACATTGTATTCATTTTCCTTTCACAAACTGAGACTATGTATTCAAGACCGATCTTCTAATGTTCACTTTATCACTAACTGGGCTGAAAAAAAAAAAAAAAAAAAAAAAAAAAAAAAGGTTGCAATGGGCACTATTTTTCCAGCAAGAAGCTGTGCATAGAGGTCTAAAGAAAAGTAATCATCAAAAGTTTTACTAGCTGTTCCTATAAAACTCTTCACCCTTAGCCTCTGGTATATCCTGTGGTTAAACAACTACATCCCAAAACACTAGGTAAGCACAGCAGTGTATGTCCACAGCAAAAGGGAAACCTAAAGTGTCACAAATGGAATTGCCCAACAGTGTTGCCTACATATCTTAGCTAATGAAGTTTATGGTTTCAGAGCAACATATGGGAATCAGCAGCTCCAAGCTCTCCTCCAGGCTAGGACCTTCGGATTACAAAGGGACTGAGGCAAAACACAATGGACTTTTCAAATCAGGTGGTCAATTTTGAGTGCTCAAACCAATACCTGGAGTCTCTGAGATGCTCTCAATTTTAGAACCTTTGCTGTTCCTGCATATCTTCCTAACACACAAGTCCTCAGGTTTTTTTGAAAGAAAGTTCCTACATATATTAAAAATGACCATTCAGAAAAAAAACCCTTAACAAATAAAACAAAAAAATACAGCATTATGAAATGACTTCTACAGATTTAAACATACATACATATCTCATTCTTCCATTCATATAACATCTCTGGAGCTTGCAAATTTCACAATTTTACATAAATGGAAGAGCTTATTTTATGTTTCCTAGTCCATGTTACAAGTATATTAAATTAATTAAGCTCCTTTGTAATGTCCTTTAGAACTGTAGATGATTACTCTGAAATGGCTAATATTTTTCATCTGCGTTATGTAAGACATTTTCTAGTAGCTCTGAACTGAACACAGTCAGATGCACAATGCTCTTTTTATCACAAGAATTGTGCCTGAAGCTATCCCACAGATTCAAAAGGAACTCATTAGCATAAACAATGTCTAATGATTTCGTTCAGGAAAAATTTCACTGTTTGGATCAGTGGCAACTAATTTTTCAGCAACTAATTGCCATTTTATTAATCAGAAAAGAAAGGACTAAAGCTGAAATAATATATTCCTGGACCATGAATTCAGCAAATCAATGGAAGTTTTAAGGCTTAAATGAAACACGTTAAAAAAGAATTTTAAGAAGATCATCAGGATATGAAATGCCTCTTCCCCAGTTTTTGTGCATAAAAATTGGCCTTTGGCTTTTCAGGCTTGTATGATTTCACCGATTATTTAACACGGGATGCAAAGCTTACAACGAGGCACCAGATGGCGCCTCACAGGAGACGTTCGTGCTGTGCCATTTCCAGTTACAAACATTCAGACTCACAGAATCGTTTAAGTTAGAAAAAAGCATTAAGATCACTGAGTCCAAACCCATGTCCACCACTAAACCACGTCCCTAAGTGCCACACCTAAACGTCTTTTAAATACCTCCAGGGATAGTGACTCCACCAGCTTCCCTGGGCAGTTTGACAACAATTTCTGTGAAGAAATTTTTCCTAATATCCAGTCTAAACCTCCCTTGCTACAAGCTGAGGCCATTTTGTCTCATCCTATTATGTGTTACTTGGAAGAAGAGAACAAACTCCACCTGGCTGCAGCCTCCTTTCAGGCAGTTGTAAATAGTGATAAGGTCTTCCCTGAGCCTCCCTTTCTTCAGGCTAAACAGCCCCACCTCCCTCAGTTTCTCCTCATCTGTGCTCCAGACTCTTCCAGCTCCGTTTCCCTCCTCTGGACACGATCCAGCTCCTCAATGTCCTTTTTGAAGTGAGGGGCTCAGAAGTGAGCTCAGGATTCAAGGTGCAGCCTCCCCAGTGCCAGGTCACTGCCCTGCTGGCCACAGCTTCTGATCCAGGCCAGGATGCCTTGGCTACCTGGGCAGACACTGGCTCATGTTCAGTCACTGCTGATGGCTCTCCCAGGTCCCTTTCTGCTGGGCAACAAACTGACTGAAGATGCCCTCAACCCCCTTGTCCAGGTCATCATTAAAGATATTAAACATAACGACCCCAGTACTGAGCCTTGGAGACTGGACACCAACTGGATTTAACTCTCTGGGCCCAGCCATCCAGCCAGTTTTTTAATCCAGTGAAGATGGTTCCCATCCAGCTCGTGAATAGCCAATTTCTCCAGAAGAATGCTATGAGAAGTGGTATCAAAGGCTCTTCCAGAGTGTTAATATAAGCAAGGCAGTCTTACATAAACTCGTTTTTCTTGAGCAGTTTTTCTCATGAGAAAAGGAATGCAGAGAAATCGAGTATACTGGCTGAGTCAGAGGTTGGGGATGGAGTGGACGCCAGTAAAATGAGCCTTTTTAGCTACTCCAGTCAACTTTGCCCTGGATGCTGGATGCATGGGGTGACTGGGGCACCAGGGTGAAAGCCTCCAGTAGGGTTGACAGCAACATGAAAGACAGAAAGGTGACTGACTTCTCTCTCTATAGTGCTTCAGAGCTCTCATCCTCCCAAACACAGCATCCACATATAGTTGTGGTCAAGAAAAACAGTCAGTTGAGTGCACAAAATAGCAATTTCAAGGAACAGAACCTTTGGACAAACCATAGAAATTCAGATTGTATCCACATCAGTCATATTCAGGTACGAGCACTGGGAAACCAAATGAACTTCCAACAGCCAGAGTGAACATGGGAAAAGTTGAGAACCTTACTGAAGACACCCTGAGTCTTAACAAAGTTAGAGGCATAACATATCAAGTAGAACTGATTCCTGTGTATAAAGGACTTTAAACCACATTTTTATTACAGACTCAGAGAATTATTAAAGTTGTAAGGGAGCACTGGAAGTCATCTAGTCCAGCCTCCCTAATCAAACAGGATTCCCTAGAGCACATTTCTAAGGATGGCGAATATATCCAGAGAAGGAGACTCCACAGCCTCTCTGGGCAGCTTTTTCCAGCTTGCTCCAGTCACTCTTACAGTAAGTTCCTCCTCATATTCAGGTGGAACTTCAGAAGGCACAGGACTGACTGCCAAGGAGCTGCACCACTATGCCCTCTGCTACCCCATGAGCTTGGGGAGACCCACAAACCAGGCTGTGCTCACATGAAAGTACAGCCTCCTCACCGCAGTTTCTCAAAACACCACCAGTCTTCAATTATCTGTCTGCTCATCACTGCCCCGAGGGGAATGGTATGCAAATGATAGTGCCTGGTGCCCTGGAGGGCTGTGCTGAGGATGACTTTCTTGGCCAAAAAGGCCCATAAAGCAGTGCCAGACCTTCAGGGACAATCATGGACAAATTAAAGTCTTCAGAATTGCAGTTTGCTGCAGCCCAGCCCCTGAAGCATGAAGTGCCTTAGGCAGATATAGGCCCATCAACATTTCTGAGCATCCTATATGAGGCCTGCAGG